CTCCAGCAGTAGAAGGATAGTTAGTGCTCAGATCTTGGTTTCTAAATACTATTCTCCAATAAGAGGAATTGGGGTTGCTTGAATTCCTGGGCTGGATCGAGACAAACACAAGTTTAGTCTGGAGTACCCTGTGATGCCAGAAGTAAGGAAGTCCTTGAAAAATTATAGGGACATGAAAGGACACAGGAAGCATTCCCAATAGCCAAAGTTGGGACAGTTTTGAGTAATGAAAATGGTAGCTGTGGGTTATAAGCCATAGAAGATAATGTCCATGAGTCCATACTAAGATAATTAAATAAATAAATGAGTAAATGGGTGAGAAGCAATAGTTCTTCCTTTCAGAATTCCATCAATGGTGTAGAAAGAAAATGAGAATTAGCGCGCCAAACACCAGGCATAACTGTTTCGAGCAATAACCATCAATGGATGATAAAACTAGTAGGCAAATTATGAAAAACACAGCATTTACATATTCTTACAGTATCTCACTATAAGATAATTATTCATTATAAAGGGGAAAACTTACAGTGAAGAAATCTGGTAGACATATTGACATCATGAGTCTCCTGATAGGATCCACTGAGAACTCAGAGCACATTACTTCTGTGGTGTTTTTGCCAAAAATGCATTACCTGGATTTAATTGTGAAGAAAAATAAGAAAAAACAAAACAAAACAAAAACCAAGTTGGGGTACATTTAAAACAAATGTCCAGTGTTCTGTCATTGTCAAAGTCATGAATGACAAAAACAGAATGAGAAATTGTCCCAGAATAAAGGAGACTAAGACATAGCAGTTTAATGCAATGTGGGATCTTGTTCCCCCCTAAAAAAGACACTAGGGGACAATTAATAAAACTTAAATAAGTTTTGTAGATTATAGTGTTGTATCAAAGTTAGTTTTCTGGGTTTTATCATTATATTGTGGTCAAAGACAGCATTTGGGCAGCTAAATAAAGGGTATATGGGAATCCTCTGGATTACTTTTGGTACTTTTTTATAAGTCTGAAATTATTTTGTAATTATTTATAAATGTAAAGTTTAAAATAATATACAAGAATTATAACTAACTCTACTATTATTAAAATCCAGCATATTTGGAGCACCTGGGTGGCTCAGTCAGTGGTGTGCCACTCTTGATTTTAGCTCAGGTCATGACCTTAGAGTCATGGAATCAAATCCCCTTCTCTCGGCTCCTCACCCTGCTTGTGCTATCTCTAAAATAAATAAATAAAACCATTAAAAAAATATTCAGCATACTTGTCAAAAATAAACAATGAGGATTGACAAGCAGGCAGGGCTAGATCATGTCAGGACTTGGTAGCCATGTTAAGGAATTTAAGTCTTCTACCTTCAGAGCAATGAGAAACGATTAAAGTTTTATTTTTTCTTAAAGATTTTATTTATTTATTCATGAGAGACACACAGAGCGAGAGAGGCAGAGACACAGGCAGAGGGAGAAGTAGGCTCCATGCAGGGAGCCCAACATGGGATTCAATCCCCAGGATCACACCCTGTGCTGAAGGCAAGCACTAAACTGCTGAGCCACCCAGGCTGCCCAAAGAGTTTTAAGAAGTTAGGAGGAGCGCCTGGGTGGCTCAGTAGCTTAAGAGTCTGCCTTGAGCTCAGGTCATGATCCCAGAGCCCCAGGATGGAGCCTCACAATGGGCTCTCTGCTCACGGAGGAGTCTCTTTCTCCCTCTGCCCTCACCCTACTTGTGCACTTGCTCTCTCTCAAATATATATATATATATATATATATATATAAAATAAATAAAGTCTTTAAAAAAAAAAAGAAGAGGAGGTTGGGAGTGGGTCAGTTTATCAGTGAGGGCCCCAATGGGAAGCAGATGGCCCATTGAAACAAGAAGATTTGAGGAAGATTTATCTGCAGGAGACTATAAAAGTATGGGTGTAGGGAACCATCCATTAAAGCCAACAGGTGGGTGGGTAGAGCAAGAAAAGAGAACTTAGGCTGACAAGGAGTGCTGTCAAAGAGGGTGAAGTCATGGAAATGAAGGAGAACATTTCAAAGAGGAAGGTAATTAACAATGGCAGGGAGCAAGAAATGAGCTGAAAAAATGGTCTTTGGGTATAGTCATATGGCCAATCTGTAACTTCGGTGAGAACTGTCGCAATGAAACAATGATGGAGGCAAGCCGACTGGAGTGAGTGGGGAAGTGAGAGAATGACAAAAATAGACAACCCTTTTGATGTGTTTGACTGTGGTGGGGAGAGGAAACCTAGGACACCAAGTCCATCTGCAAGCTTTCCAATTATCCATTTTGAAATCAACTGGAACAGTGGGAATGCCTTTAGCAAATTCTCTAAAGCAACGCAAGTTCAAAGAACGGCTCTTCGTGGAGTCTGAAGCTTATCTACAAAATGACTTTGTTAACAAATCATAATCATACAAGATGTTCAACTTTAGTGCCCAAATGGCACCCCTGTTTTCCAAATCCAAACATGTTCATCAAAAACCAGAAAGTTTCCTAAGATCACAAGTTGCAACGATACTGACATTTTCATTTGAGAGCACTCAGGCATGATTTCAGGGGAAAGACAATGTGGTAGCATTTTTAGTGCCTCAAGGAAACATCTAGATATAAGAGATTTAAAGACAATTCTTTTGTGATGTTTGGTCTTCAAGAAAAATATAGAACACACAAATACAACATCTTTTTATATACCTGCATAGCGCTTATTTACCCCAGAACAGAGCAACTTTGGGAAAAATCAAAGCTTTAGTAGTAACTGCAGTTGCTTTTTATTCTAGTCTCCTAACCAGGTTAGTTTCTGGAATCCTGTTTCCAGAAGGCTCCTCCAGGTTCCCAAAGGGTTTGGCATGTATGTGCTGGGTGTTGGATCCCACTGTTTGCAGAAGTTTTGGGAAAAGCTACATCATTTGATATCGCTCTTGTCACCACCTGCCTTGCCATGTGACTCTCCCTGCCATCATTTTTAGCTACTTCTAAGTGCTGTAAGTTTTGCTCTCCTAGTGCCCATAGCCCTTTGAGCCAACCTAAATGGTCTGGCAGTATTTGTATTTACAGCCCCACTGAGCATGTTGACTTCCTTTATGACCACAAAAAGGTGGTCAAGGTCATTGCCCAGCTTCCTATGGTTGTTCCCCTTACCCCAAATTAAGATTGTCTGCAAAGTCACATTCTTGCTTTCTCAGACTTGTTCTTTTTTTTTCTAAGACAGGTTTATAGTCTCTTTTGCTGGACCATTAGTCATAAAGTCTCCATCATTACTTCTTGCAGGGCACACTCATGAACCCAGAGTTACTGAGGGAAGGTGTGCAGATTAAACTCCCCAGCATAGCCCTAAATGCTAGATTCCTGCTTTTCAAAAGTTAGTAGTTCCGTATTCAAAATTTTCAGCTGGGCAATCCTTACTCTACAAATATCCACTTAAAAAACTGTAGTATCTTTTTGTGCCTATTTCTCCTGAAATTGGTCTGAAAGATCAAATTAGATTATACATGGAAGCATGAAATTTTCATCTCTTCCTTCCATTGGAAGTTAAGTGAAACACAGAAATAGCTATTATTGAATTACCTGTATTTCCAGCACTTAAGAATATATTTTTAATAACTGAAAGTGTTTTTTCTCTAAAATAAATGCACTTGTTTGGGGAACTGCTTTTTAATCAATTCCATTACATTGTTCTTAATCTTGTATACCAATACTTTTTTTTCCTGATAGATACAACTACTAGAATTTGGACTAAGAATTGAACTGTTAAATGGAGGCCAATGGAAGCTCCTAATTTTTAGCACCCTAGTTACAAAATAGCAAGTGAAGTTAAAATTATTTTTATTCTTTAAATTTCAGTTTCCTTCCTGAAATGCCGCTGAGAACAAGCAAATATTTTTTTTAAATTTTTTTTTTTTTTTTTTTTTTTTTATTTATGATAGTCACAGAGAGAGAGAGAGAGAGAGAGAGGCGGAGACACAGGCAGAGAGAGAAGCAAGCTCCATGCACCGGGAGCCCGACGTGGGATTCGATCCTGGGTCTCCAGGATCGCGCCCCGGGCCAAAGGCAGGCGCCAAACCGCTGCGCCACCCAGGGATCCCGAGAACAAGCAAATATTAAGCTAAGGTAGCTAGAAAGTGTTTGCCTGAGGAGCTAAATCTAACAGATACTGACAAAGGAATATAGAAAAAGTAAGCGTAAAAGTGAAAGACAAGAGTAAGTAAAAAGCTGACCTTCTATCTGGGTCATATGCATTCAACCCATGTTTGTCACACTGGGTCAACAGCCTCTATGAATGTCTTCATATAGAGCATCTGGACTTTCAGAAAAAGCCAGAGACTCATATACATCAAGAAGCATAAAAATACATTTCAAGTCAGTCCCTTCAATTATAAAAATGTTAGCCAAAGAAGAAAATTTCCATAACTGAATTTTTAATTGAGTTTTAAAAAGTCCTCTCTACTTAAAAAAAAAAAAGTCACAATAAAACATTTATGGAACTGTATAGAAATATGTCCAACATAATCCGAATTTCTTGATTTTAATGTTTGAATCCAAATGCGGCATATATTTAACAATCCATTTGCTTTCCAACAAACTAAAACTTAAAGGAAAAAATACATTTTATCTTCCCAAATATAAGTGGCATAAAATTATATTTGGTTTTCATAAGCCAGAAGCATAACTGCCTTTGGCTAAAACTCGATAAAGAACATAGATAATGCAGATTCCTTTAAATTAAAACACATTACGGCATAAATGTATGTGCGTACATGCTGGATGAATATATATAATCTGTAAAGTGAAGTCAAATATGCATTCCCTATTTATATAACAAAGGCTGAGGAATTTAGATGCCTAGATTACACAATACCTTGCCAAAACTTTTTATCCATAGAATAATCCCTTGAAAGTGGGTATTAAATGAAATAAAGTTTTGCCCAAGGTTTTAGCCCTTTTGGTTGGCCTTCTTTTCTTCACGCTCCACTCGCAAAAGATAAATTGTATATTTTTTACATATGTAAACATCAGACTTTCAAGCAGTATTATGCAGTCCTTGGAAACAATTCATTTCTTCAACTCTTCCTGTACACCTGGGTTGGTGGAGTCTGTGGAGTCTTTGTCTCTGAGCTCTTCTGTTTCCCCCTTAAAAACAAACTCAGCAGGTACTGGGTGTTCCTGTGCCTTGGATTTCACAGCGTGAGCTGCATAGTTAAGGCTGGTATTTTCACTCCAATTCCAGTAACCTGAGAGGGGGTTGTAGAGCATTCCTGTCACAGTTTGAACTGATAGACCATCTGAAAAAAGCAATCAGAAAGAGTAGATTTAATAAGTAATTGCCTTCCAAATGCCAAGATTCTAATGTGACTCTAAAAAGGAGTCCTAAACTCATTGGGAAAAAATACTTTGTAACCAAGTACAAATCATTCTTCACTGTAGCACAGAACATAAACTCTAAAGCCAACTGCCTGGGTTCAAATTCCAGCCTGGCACCTATTAAATGGTGACCCTCCGGAAGTCACTTAACATTTCTGAGTCTTAATTTTCTGTCATGTAAGGAACATATAGTCCTAGAGTTGTTAGAATTATGTGAGATATGTGTATAAAGTAGCACAATGCTTGGAATTTGGTTAAAGTACTTAAGAAACATAAGCTTTTATTAGAAAATATCTTCCAGCAAGTGATTGTTCTTATACAGCATCTTTAAAATACTTTTTTCTACTCTGTTTTCAATAATATTTATTTGCAGAAATCTTTAGAACTTCTTATATTGGATTGACAATACTCCAATATTCCAAATCAAGTTTACTGATATACTGTTATATGAACAAAAAGCCTGAGACATACAAGAGTTAAGTACTCAGCAGGAATACCAAATACCAACTAAATGTTTTTACTTGACAGGAATTCAACATATAAATCAAGAGCCCACAATGTGTAAAGCAGGGATACGCACTGCAGGGAGTAGAGTTTGCCTCCAAAGAGCTTACAGGCCAGAAAGGGGCTTAAAAACACCAGAAGAACCATAATATAGAGCAAGCTATAAGTAGCACAAAAGACATAAAAGGAGACAAGGAAGTTCAAAGTATACCTGAGTATGGAGGAATCAGAAAAAAAAAATACATATAATAAGCTGATACCTGCAGGGTATCAACAGGACAAACTGAGGAGGAGTAAGTAATAAACACTTGTACTTCATCCTCTAACAGATGAGGACTAAGCAGCCAAAAAGTATTCACTGATCATCTGTGATTTGCCTGGCCCTAGGTTAGGTGCCACAGGTGAGAGACATGTGGTATTTAATACTTAATCCTAACTTCAAGGAGTTTGTGATCTATTTGAGAGATGAAACCAACATCCAGAGAATAGGCCCATTTAATTCAGTGCCAGGTTGTGTGATTAATAATTATAGGTACATTAAAAGTTTGCTAAAGCCTTGAAAACTGGAAAAAATTCTTAATACTTACTTGATTCCAGAATGCTCTCTAGCTTTTCAGGTGAAATAAACTTCTCCCATGTATGAGTACCTTTTGGTACAATACCTGCAATTTGCTCTGCAAAAACAATTCCCAAGGCGTAAGACAGCTGTGTTTTGTTGATTGTAGTAATGAATAAAGAACCACCAGGCTAAAAAAAAAAAAAAAATTATATGGAGAGAAGTACCATTTTAGATGTCACGAGTATCAGTTAGGTAAAGTCTTGGCTTCCCCCACCCCCTTCCTTCCTTCCAAATAATTTAACTGCAATTAAGATGCATAAATATAAATTATAATTTACCAAAATACTTTTTTCTTTTGGGAAATGCATTATTAAAGGTAGTCTACTACAGATGTACTCACTGGGTTTATTCAACAGAGCTTAGAACTCTTAAAATCAAGCTGTAACATATTATGTACTTTCTTTTGTACATAACAAATACTTTATAATAAAAATATAAGAATGATCAGGCTACACTTCCATGTTACATGTCCACATTTACAGTCTAATGTGTCAACACTGTTTTCTCTTTGGATGCGGAGTCTAACTTGTTCTGTGCAGCAGACAGTGCCACATCTTGTATAGGTGAGTAATGCCAATAAGTGTTCTCTGACAAAAACATTAATGATTGTTTTGTTTTGTTTTGATTTCATTAGTATAAAGAATATGAAAAGATCAAGATAGACCCTTAGATGAATACAGACCATTTATGGGACTCTTTGGGCTTTTTTTTTTTTTTAAGATTTATTTATTATTTGAGAGAGAGAGAGAGAATATGCACTCGGGAGTGCTAGCACAAGTGGAAGGAAAGGTATAAGGGTCGGAGAGAGAGAGAAATCCAGCTAGCTCCCCACTGAGTGTGGAGCTGGGTCTCCGAGCTCAATCTCAAGACTGAGATCATGACCCGAGTCAAAACTAAGAGTCAGATGCTCAGTCAACTGAGCCACTCAGGCACCCTGAGTCTGCCAGGTTTTAGTGGCTGTATTTGTGGTGTTTCCTATATTTACTCCCACAAATGACAAAGATTAATGTCTGTTCCCTCTTCTACATATTCTCATTACCCTGATGGGGATAAAACGCCAAAAATTCCTTCTAATTATTACCTATATGTGTATGTGTGTATATATAGAGAGAATATATCTCAAATATCACCCAAAAAAAAAAAAAAAAAAAAGAGGAGACCCTGAAATGCTATAATGTGCCCTTAAATTATAAACTGAAATATAGGGCAGCCCCGGTGGCCCAGCAGTTTAGCGCCGCCTTCAGCCCTGGGTATGATCCTGGAGACCCAAGATTGAGTCCCACATCAGGCTCCCTGCATGGAGCCTGCTTCTAACCTCTGCCTGTGTCTCTGCCTCTCTCTCTCTCTCTCTGTCTGTCGTGAATAAATAAATAAAGAAAATCTTTTAAAAAATAAAAAATAAATAAACTGAAATATAGGGATGCCTGGGTGGCTTAGTGGTTGAGCGTCTGCCTTCTCTCAGGTAGTGATCTCGGAGTTCTGGGATTGGTTCCGCATTGGGCTCCCTGTGGGGAGCCTGCTTCTCCCTCTGCCTATGTCTCTGCCTCTCTCTGTGTGTCTCTCATGAATAAATAAATAAAATCTTTTAAAAAAATGAATATCTAATCTATGGCCTATGGAATCTTAGTCTATGGAAACAGTGATAAGCAATGGTCATTTTCTTAAAAGGCTTTCCATAAATGCAAAATTAGTTTTAAATTCCACAATGCCAGCATTCCTAATATGTGTGAAAGAACCTCCATTCATACATACTGACTGACACACAACACAAAAAATAATGATTAAGGGGTTTTGCTTGGAAAATAGAAGATAAGCCTAGTAAAACTCATTTAAGAGGAAACACCAAGAAACTATTACATACTTAAGGAAACTAAGGAGACACAGCAACTAAATCCAACACAGAATCCAGGGCTGGATCCTGACCAGAAAAATGACATTAGTAGAAACACTAATGAAATTTAACAAGGTCTGTAGTGTAGTTAATAGTATGATGTCAAGGTGCCTGGGTGGCTCAGTCGGTTGGGCATCTGCCTTCAGCTCAGGTCATGATCCTAGGGTCCTGGGATTGAGCCCAATGTTGGGATCTCTGCTTGGCAGAGGGCCTGCTTCTCCCTCTCCTTCTGCCTACTTGTGCTAGTGCTCTCTCTCTGGCAAATAAATAAATAAATAAATCTTTTAAAAAAAAGTATGATGTCAATGTTAATTTCTCAATTTCAAGAAATGTACAACGGGTTACATAGAAGTCTAGGTTACATAGAAGTCTAGGACTCTGGTGAGGCAGGTGAGGTGCCTATGAAACAATATGGAAGGATGCACTCACTTTCTGGAGTGTGCAAACACAGGGCTGGCAACTCAGCTTGAGTGTCTCCTTCCATTTTGTGTCCGACGTGCCTCACTTGCCTCACCCTAGTTCCTATCCTTATTGTGTGAAATGTTAACAGTAGGAGAAACTGGGGGAAGGATAGATGGGAACATTCTGTACTATCTTTGTAATCTTCTCTAAAACTAAACTTACATAAAAAAGTATTCCTAAAAATTCTATTTAGGTAAGGGGTAAGCATTTCATCCTTTTAGCTCTTGACCTTAGGGTGTTACCTCCATTAACAACAGAGTCAATATAGTAACAACAACAATAACAACATTTTAAGGGACTTATTTAAAAAAAAATTGGAATCACCTTCAGAGGACTACATTTGTGGCAAATTATGTAAGCATAATCATATAATGGGAAGAATCAGACTTGGAATCTACAGATTTGACCTTAAGTCCCACTTAAATGTCCATTGAACTTTGACATAAAGACCAAGTGACCTCTGGATTCTTGGGAGAAGATGGTAAAGTTGGAGCTCACCTCCTCCCATGGACACGCAAGGCAACAACTACATATCTTCCATGGCTAAAGACATAGCGCAAAAGCCACACTGAGAAAGTTAATAGTATGATGTGATTTGGTAGGGAACCAAACCCCTGGCACAACAACCTATAATTGGGAGGGATATCACAGGCACAGAGGTCCACCCTGAGGAGCCAGGGGTTCAATTACTTTGGGTACCCCTGGTCCTAGGGACCAGCACTGGGAAGATGAGCTCCCATAATGTCAGCTTTGAAATTCAGAGGGGCCAGAAGGCTATGGAAACCAAGACTCTGCTCTTAAAGGACTAGCACAATACCTCACTCAGGCTGACATTCAGCACAGAGTCAGCAGTTTGAAAAGCACCAGGGTTATACATGAAGGAGATTTACTGACTAATTTTAGGGCATGTGTTGGAAAGGCAGGAATCTGCAAGAAGCTTTCTTGAGGAATGGAAATACTGGGGGACATATTTTTCTTGTCCTCCTTCAGCCTAGCTGGCCTGATGCTTACGAACTAGTTCTGACATTCTCCATCTATCTAGCTAGCACTACTCGCCCTGCTCTGGCACTCCCCCGTAATTGGACCACCCTGCCCTGGAGAGTGCCGATCTAAAGTAACTCCCAGTCTGCCACACCCAGGAAGCAGCCTTGGTCAGATCAGTATTCTCCCAAAGTAACTACTGCCCCACCATCTAGTGGCATCCCCAGCCAGGACTGGGGCCCCTCCAAAGAAATTCCTTCTTTGGAGAGAGGATGGGCAGCCCCACACACCAGCTTGTGGGTACCAACTGCAGCTGAGCCACTCAAGCCAGCCTGCCTGGAAACCAGCTCTGCATCCCAGTAGATCTGCAGAAGTCACAGCTGGTCATTGTGCACAGCTGGGCTGAGGGTCAGCTCTGCCTACAGTGCTTGCAAAGAGTTACATCCCAGTCACAACCTGAGGCTGCACATAGCCCATACAGGGGACACCCCCAGAATGTCTGCTTCTGGTAATTGGAGGAAGGCACTATAGGGCCCACATGATGCCTTTTGACACAAGGCCACTACTTTCAAAACCAGGATACATACCTGACATACCTAATACATGGAAACAAACACAGAAAGTGAGGAGATAGAAAAATATGTTCCGGGATGCCTGGGTGGCTCAGAGGTTAAGCACCTGCCTTCAGCCAGGGTGTGATCCTGGAGTGCCAGGATCAAGTCCCACATCAGACTCCCTGCATGGAGCCTGCTTCTCTCCCTGCCTATGTCTCTGCCTCTCTCTCTCTTTGTTTGTCTCTCATGAATTTAAAAAACCCAACAAATAAAAAGGCTATGGGATGCCTGGGTGGCTCAGCGGTAAAGCATCTGCGTCGGGCTCAGGGCATGATTCCTGAGTCCAGGATCGAGTCCCACGTCAGGCTCCCTGCATGGAGCCTGCTCTCCTCTCTGTGTCTCTGCCTCTCTCTCTCTCTCTCTCTCTCTGTGTGTGTGTCTCTCATGAATAAATAAAATCTTTAAAAAAAAGTTCCAAATGAAAGAACAAGCCAAAATTTCAGAAAAATACAAACAATGGAGATAAGCAATCTACCTGATAAGGAGCTCAAAGTGATGGCAATAAAGATGTACATCAGATTTGAGAAAAGAGTGGAAGAACTCAGAGTTCAAATCAAGAAAGAGAGGGAAAAAAGAGCAAATTAGAAGATGCAGAAGAATAGGCCAGCCAGTAATCTGGAAGACAGGGTAGTAGAAAGCACCTAAGTTGGACAATAGACATATGAAAAGATGCTGAACATCGCTGATCACCAGGGAAATGCAAATCAGAATCACAATGAAATTTCATCTCATACATGTCAGAATGGCTAAAATCAAAAACATAAGAAATAACCAGTGTTTGTGAGGATGTGGAGAAAAAGGAACCCTTGTGCACTGTTGGTGAGAATGTTAACTGGTGCAGCCACTATGGAAAACAATATGGATGCTCCTTAAAAAATTAAAATAGAAATACCATAGAATCCAGTAATTCCATTTCTGGGTATTTACTTTAAGAAAACAAACATTAATTCGAAAAGATTATGCACCTCACAGATGGGAGAGGGGGTTAAAAAAAAAAGATACATGCACCTCTATGTTTACTGCAGCATTATCTACAATAGCCAAGATATGGAAGCAACCTAGATGTCCATCAATACATGAATACATAAAGAAGATACGGTAGATATATACAATGAATTATTACTTAGCTTTAAAAAAAAGAATGAGATCTTGACATTTGCAACAACATGGATGGACCTGAAGGTATTATGCTCAGTGAAATAAATCAGAGAGAAAGACAAATACTATATGATTTCACTTACATGTGAAATCTAAAAAACAAAACAAGTGAACAAACAAAAACTAGAAACACATAATAAATACATAGAGCATAATACATAATTATGCTCTCTCTCATAAATACAGAGAGCAAACTGGGATTGCTAGAGGAGAGGGGGGAGATAGGCAAAATAGGTAAAGGGGACTATGAGGTATAAATCTCCAGTTATAGAACAAGTAAGTCATGAAGATGAAAAATACAGCATAGGGAATGTGGTTAGCAATATTGTAATACCTTTTTAGGATGACAGATGGTAAGTACACTTATTGTGATGAGCATTTTGTAATGTCTATAATTGTCGAATCACATGTTGTACACCTGAAACTCATATAATATTGTATGCCAACTATACTTCAATTAAAGAAAACAAAAAAGGGGGTGCCCACATGGTGCAGTTAGTTAAGAGTCCAACTCTTGGTTTCAGCTCATGTTACAATCTCAGGGTCATGGGATTGAGCCTCATGTGGCCCTCCCCACTCAGCAAGGTCTCTGCTTAAGACTTTCTCTCCCTCTGCCTCTGTCCCCTCATCTCTCTCTCTCAAATAAATCAATACATCTTAAAAAAAAAAAAAAGAAAAGAAAAGAAAGAAAAGAAAGAAAAGAAAAGAAAAGAAAAGAAAAGAAAAGAAAAGAAAAGAAAAAACAACATGTGTCTCTCATGAATAAATAAAATCTTTAAAAAAAAAAAAAAACTGGCTAAGTGACTTTGACAGCTCTCAAATTCTGATCTCCTTTGGTCCAAGTTGGTCACAACAGTACCTGCTTACCTTCCTTATCTGGTGGTATGGAAAATCAATGAGATCATATATATGAAATATTCCTTTATAAGCTGAAAGCTGTTATATATATCACATACAGAGTTACTTAAGAAATGTTATCTAAATCAATTTATATAAATTAAAAATGGTTTTTGTTTTTTAAGTATCAATCCAAATCAATTTCTTAGTAACTGCCATTCAATATCTATTAGGAATTTAATCCAGAGTATACCAATGAAAAAAACTTTAATTCCATTGTTTGTAATTATGTTCAGCACCAACACTTTTCAAGATTCTGGGATATCAGGATAGTGTATCTGGAAAAATCCCGGTATTGAGTGCAAGCTGAGAAGCAAATGTAATCTCCAGCAGAGATACTATCCCCTAATCCTAGCTTCCTGATTTCAAGTATTATAAAACTTATTTCTATGGATACATACACACACTCAAAAGAAAAGACAAACAAGTAAAACCAAGTAAGACTTACTTTTAACACTTCACAGCAGCACTGTATAAATGTTTCTAGATCAATCACATGTTCTACAACTTCGGAAGCTACAACGGCATCAAATGTTTCTGCTGTCTCTTGCACAATCTCTTCCAGGGAACCCACTCTGTACTCTATTCTCTTATCTAGGACTGGATCAAATGATTTATGGTGCTGTGCTGTCTTAATGTTCTCATCCACAGGATCGATTCCAATAACTGAAGCTCCAAGCCGCCCTAGAGGCTAATTGGATAAAAAAAAAAAAAAAAAAAAAAAAAAAAAAAAAGCTATTATCTTCAAGAAGAAAACAGAATACATGCTAGCAATGAAGAACTTATCAAAAAGGAAACAAGCTCAATCGTGAGGGGCTAATTACTGGAGATTATTTATGGGTACATCGAAGTTCATTAGACCATTTTCTATAGTTCGTACACATTTGACAATTACCATAATAAAAAGCTTAAGAGTGAACAATAGTCACAACAACAAAAAACTTACAAAGAACTATTTGAGAATAGCGGGGAGGAGAGTTCTATATCCTATAGTACATTTACATGCACATAGTAGATTATTAACATACTTAAAGTGCACAAAAGTTATTGTGTTGATAGAAGACTACAAAAGAGAGCTGCAGGGCATAAATACAAGTTTGCCTTATACAAGTTGAGGCAAGTATTTTTTTATAGGGGTGAATTAGTATTCTTCCAAGCAGTCCAAAGCACCTAAGAAGGGGAGAGCACCACAAGCAGGCAATACTCTTAGGTTTTGATACCGAAGCAAGTACAAAAGAATAGCTTATCATTGCATTTAAACCAGTGGAAATTGACTAATCTCTTAGAAGAGACAACAAAATTTCCAAAGCTATTTGAAAGATCAGTGCTCAATTTTGTGCAAAAACAAACAAAAAACAAAAAAACACCAAAAGAATCCTCCTTCCTGTGATTTTCTGAAATTTCTATATATTTTTTAAGAAAGTAAAAAGCATATATTAGTTTTATGATGGTAAAACATTAAGAACAATGTTAGGCATTTCTCTTTTTTAAAATAAACAATACTATTTGTTAAAAGGTTAAATGAATCATAAGCCTACTTTTTCTCAATTATTTTACCAGTTAAAAAATGGCAGGAAAATTGTAAACCACCTAAAAATTGTAAACCACTTACTTCAGTTAACAATCCACCACCACAGCCAACGTCAAGTATCTTCATCCCAGACAATGGTTTTCCTGGCTGGTGATGAGCAACTGTTTTTAAAAGATTGTCTCTTTTTTAAAAATCCAAAACATATAAAAACAAATTATTAATTTTGCTAATAAGATCTTAAAAGTGTACAATTTTCAAGGATATATTAAACTCTCATTTTATTTTATTTTTTTAAGATTTTATTTATTATTTGAGAGAGAGAGAGAAAGAGAGCATGCACAAGTAGAAGGAGAGGCAGAGGGAGGTGGAGAAGCAGTCTCCCCCCTGGGCAGGGAGACCTACACAGGGTAGTGCGTTGATGGCAGGCGCTTGATCCCAGGAGCCTGAGATCATGACCTGAGCCGAAGGCAGACACGTAACTGACTGAGCCACCCAGGCACCCCCAAGAGTTGCATTTTATTTTATTTTATTATTTTTTTAAGATTTTATTTATTTATTCATGAGAGGCACAGAGAGAGAGAGAGGCAGAGAGAGAGAAGCAGGTTCCATGCAGGAGCCCGACGCAAGATTCAATCCTGGGTCTCCAGGATCATGCCCTGGGCTGAAGGCAGGTGCCAAACAGCTGAGCCACCCAGGCGTCCCTAAGAATTGCATTTTAAAAGACTTAGAGCTTCCAGAATGTTACCTAATAAATGGCACCCTCAGGTCATTCATAGAATGAAGAGGTGCATATACTCCTTGTTCATCCCACCACCTATGAGCCAGGGCCAGGAATGTTTTTATCTCGTTGCTGTCTACAGTAGTTTGAGAAGTACTGTATAGTCTTGTCCAAGGGTACCTAAGAAGGTCAAAGTGAAGAGCCAGGCAAAAACAGACATTTTAAAAAATGTCACATGAGATCTAGTATGTATATTCTAGTTAACAATGTATCAGCTTCTAACTACATATATTGCTCATTTTTGATGCTTTAAAACCAGGTTTTCTCATATAATCACACAGCAAATAAATATATTCACGGATGGAATGAAGTTCCATCAACAAAGTTAATTTGCTTTCAAAGTAAATTACAATAGAAATGGAATGTTTCAAAACTTGGCCTTCTGGGTCACATCTAATAGTAAGGATAATAATAATAACAGCAACAGTAGCAGAAGTAGAAATAGTAATAGTAACCATTTATTTTGCACTTACTATATGCGGGTACTATTTAAGAACTCCATATATGTCATATGTTACCTTATTTAACCATTCTGGCAGCTCTATAAGGTAGGTACTATCATTATCCCTATTACACAGGTAAGAAAAGTGAGGCTTAGAGAGATTAAGTAAATGGTAGAGCCAGGATTTGAACCCAAGTGCCCCCATCTTCTCTTCATTTCTATTATCATCATGGTCTAAGATACCATCATCTCTTACTTGAACTATTTGTTGCCCTCACCTGCTTGCTTCCTACCATATCCCCCTTCAGTCTGTTCCCTACAATGGATCCAGAGGGTTCTAAAATATAAATATGATCATGCTATTTTCCCACTTAAAATACTTCCATGGTTTCCTAGTGATATTAGGGGGAAAAAAACTCACAGTCCTTAGCATGACCTATAGTGCTCTAAATTATTTGTTCCCCATTTTCCTCCCTCCCCAAATGTACTTTCTACTACTCTCCTCATCCTCCCCTTTCCAGTCCTATGGGCCTTCTTTCATTTCCTTGCACTGACCCCACTTGTTCATTCCTCAGATACTTTGCGTATGTTGTTCTCTCTACCTGGATCATTCTTCTCACATTCCCTTCCTTCCTGGCATACCTAATTAATTCCTTTTCATCCTTTAGATCTTAGTTTAAATGGAATGCCATCTAAGAAGAAGTCTTCCCAGACTCTCAAAACCTGGGTTATATTCTCCTATTTTAACTCCCATATAACTTGGTATTTCTTCATGGAGCTATGTGACAATTTGACCATGTTTCCCCATTAAACACTATGAGGGCAAAGTATGGACTATTTCATTTACCATTTTATTCCCAGTGATTAGCACAGTTCCTGGAACACACTTGGTACTCAGGAAACATTTGTCAAATGAATAATCTAATAAAGAAGGCCCAGGATAGTATATAATTCACCTAAATTAAAAAAAAAAATCAAATGGGATCAAACAGGGACTAAACAGATCAGACATTATGCCAAATTCCATGCCAAAGTATATGACAGGAAAATCCTACAGAAGTTCTTGGGTAAAAAAGGATAAGATTGCTACATTAGAATATGTAATGCCATTAAAGTTTTCTTTTCTTTTTTTTTTTTTTTAAGATTTTATTTATTTATTCATGAGAGACAGAGAGAGACGGGTAGAGACACAGGCAGAGGGAGAAGTAGGCTTCTCGCAGGGACTCAATCCCGGGACCTGGGATCATGTCCTGAGCTGAAGGCAGATGCTCAAGCACTGAGCCACCCAGGAGTCCCTGCCATTCAAATTTTTACTGTGTTTTTCTTAGTTACACAGAGTACATTCTACATTGATTACTTACTATCCTTTTGAGATTTAAATATCATGTTTCTTTAATATTATCCTATGAATATTGTCTTTTTTCATACTTCATGCAAAGCCTCAATAATCAATGACTAACACACCATAGGTAACAGTAGGTGGTTGCTCGGTTGTCTACAAATGATTTCACATACACCCAATTTGGTTTTTTATTTTATTTTTAAGATTTTATTTTCATTTATTCATGAGAGAGAGAGAGAGAGAGAGAGAGAGAAACAGGCAGAGGAAGAGGCAGGCTCCCCGCAAGTAGCCCAATGGGGGACTTGATCCAGGTTCCAGGACCCTGGGATCCCTACCCCAGCCATAGGCAGACTCTCAACCACTGAGCCACCCAGGTACCCCCACACCCAGTTTTAAAAGAGCTAGCTTATTGACAAGCAGCAGCACATGCACTTGGAAAACAGAGTTCATACCTTAACTCTATGAAGCATTTTTCACAAGGTTAGAAATTGGTTTATAAAATACAAATACAAAAAGACATTACTTTGGAACGCCTGGGTGGCTCAGCAGTTGAGCGTCTGCCTTTGGCTCAGGGTGTGATCCTGATCCCGGGATCAAGTCCCACACTTGCGAGGAGCCGGGCTGTCCCTCTGCCTTTGTCTCTGACTCTCTCCAGGTGTCTCTCATGAATAAATAAATAAAATAAAATCTTTAAACAAAACAAAACAAAACAAAAAACATTACTTTGATTCAATCTTACCAACTGGAATTGTATAGTTATCTACCTTATAGTATTTATTGTATTCAAATCATTTATGATTTTAAGCACTGCATTGGCTGTGTCTTGTCACAAATGAAGAAGTCAAAAGTATTTCTCCAGGTAATAGTCTTACATTAAAAATAAAAGCTACCTTTGAATATAGATATTCAAAGGGTATGTATTAGGTGCTTGCTGTATTACAACTTTTCTGTAAATTTGAAACTTTCTAAATGTAGAAGTTGTTGGAAGAATATTTAGATAAACAAAAGATACCTTAATAAAACTACATAACCTATTTCATACTAACAGTGTTTATTAACATAATCAATGCTAAATTATTCTTGTACATGATTTTTTGTAAATATTTGCCAGAGTAATGAATAAACTTACCTGTGAATTTTCATTCTACTCAAGCAGGCAAAAGTCATTCTATAGGATTTGAACCACATGATTCTGTAATCACTGAAAACCCATGGTTTAGTTTGTGGAGTCCAATTGAACTGAATCTCTGAATAAATTGAAAAAAAATTGTTAAGTAATCTCTACATCCTATGTGGGGCTCAAACTCACAGCCCCAAGATCAAAAGTCATATGCTCTACCTAACTGAGCCAGCCAGGCACCTCCGAAAATAAAAATAAAACGTCTAGGGCAGCCCTGGTGGCGCAGCGGTTTAGCAGCGCCTGCAGCCTGGGGCGTGATCCTGGAGTCCCATGTCAGGCTCCCTGTATGGTGCCTGCTTCTCCCTCTGCCTGTGTCTCTGCCTCTCTCTCTCCGTCTCTATGAATAAATAAATAAAATCTTTAAAAAAAATTAAATGTCTAGAGAAAGCACTGCACAGTATAAATTCCTGATATGCATGTAATTGAAGAAACTATTTTACATGGCAAACTCATATTACAGTTGATAAACAAAAGGGTTTTCCCCTTAAATTTGGGTTTTATGCTAAAATATAAAATAAAGGCCTTGCAGTCTGCCATCTAACTCTAATCAGAAATTTCTCCAATTTTATTTTTCAAAAATAAGTAATATATATGTAAAAGTTTTTCATACCCTCCGTTTCCATACCAATATTATGCTGCACAATTGCAAAAAATGATACTCAAAACTTTTAAACTAGGACAACACTAATTCTGAGATTAGTCAGAACTAGTTCAAATTCTGTCACGTTGGCTACATGAAATGGATTTATACATACGCCCAAACCCTTTTACACAGAAGAAAAAACTGTATGTATGTGTGTGAATATATACATATCACCCTAAGATAATCGCTCATCCAGTCTGTATGTTCACCCTTACTAGAGACTTGCTCTATAAACTGGTTACTCTGCTGGACCTTCAATCGTTCAATAAACATCTAGACAAAGTGGACCTTACAGCAAAGAAAATTACCAGAAACATAAAGTTCACCCAGCTGATTTTTTGACACTGGTGCAAAAGCAGTTCAATGCAGGAAAAATAGTCTTTTCAATAAATGCTGTTGAAACAATTGGATACCATAGGCCGAAAAGGACACCTTCAACCAAGGTCTCACATCTTGTACAGAAATGAACTTAAAAAAGCCCATGGGTCTATTTTTGCAACTTCTCCCAAGTCTTAAATCATTTCAAAATTAAAAACCATTTAATTTTAAATCAAAAAACACAAAAGGGCACGCCACAAAGCTCCTCTCTTAACTTTGCTTCTTTTTCTACCAATCGGGGTATCTCGGAGATGGAATCATTTTTTCCATGTGGACACACGCGGGTTTAAATGATCATTTTTATTGGCTGCACTGGTTTTCACTATATTACAGCACCGATTCTCAACTCTATCTGTGGGCCTGCGAGTTTCCCGTCTGATCCACTGTCCTAATTTCAGTTCTAACATTTTTTTCAAAGAGACCCCTGGGGTAGCATTCAAAGCCCCCGACTCGGGGGCCGGCTCTTGGCTCGGTCCCGGGCCCGGGCCCGGGCCCAGGGATCAAGCCCCTCCCCGGGCCTGCACACTCGCTCTGGCTTCCTCTCTAAACGTAAATAAATGAACCTTAAAAAAGAAAAAAGAAAAAAAAATTTCCCAGGGCCTAACACACAGCCCCTGTTTACAGGAGTTACACGTCAAGGGCAAACTTAACTTTCTGGTTAGTATTAGGAGTTAAATAATCCAACTGTCTTCTACAAGCAACAGGGTCAGAGAGTTACTTTCTTGATTTTTATTTGCCCAACGGGGTCTGTGGAGTCCACAAAATAAAGCGGTATGGCTGCGTTAGATTCTTTCGGGGGGGGGATGGGGGGTGGAGGGGGTAAGACTTGCGCCGAGAGGGCGGAGGCGCCGCCATGCAGAGCTCGGCGACGGCCGCGGGCGGGCCCAGGCAGGCCCCGGGCGCGGGGGCAGACGGCGGAGCCGGGCGGCCGCGCGCTCCTCGGCCAGGACCTCGCCCCCCCCGCCCCCCCCCCCGCGAAGCCGGGGCCGAGGGGCCGCGCCGGGCGCCCGGCGGCGGCGAGGGACGCGGGCCCCGTGGCGCTCTCGCGCGCGGCCCGAGCGCAGCTCAACTCCGGCCCCCTCCGGCCCGCGCCTGCGCACGGCAGCGGCCGCCACCCCGCGGACGCGGGGCAGCGACACTCACCTGCCCGACCGGTGAAGCGAGCAGCCTGAGCTCGTGCGCCCCGGCACCTCGACCCAAGCACTCCTAGGAGCCGATTCCCGCAGCTTAGCGGGCGGCCTCCCCACATCGTGACGGAAGGGGCCCGCCCCCTTTCCGGTCCCTCCAGCTAAACATCCCCAACACAAGGGTTCCGAGAGCCACGCGCACCGCCTGGGGCCGGCCCAACCACGGTTGCGTGAATGGGGGTTGGAGACGCGGGACTGACTCCTGAGGCCCGACGTGCTCGAACCGCGCGTGCAGTAGGTTTCTGTTCTCACGAAGGAACTTCCGAAGTCTCTATTATGCCTATTTCCATACGACCACCTCAAGCCTCACGGCCAAAGTAGTCCTGGATCCCGCTACTTCGTACCACGTTCACTTTTATTCTCGCGTAGCTCTGCACTCAGCAGAGATCTCCCAAAGATACTTCTACTCCTGTAGGCCACTGCCGCTTAGAATCACACACAGATGCACGGAAGCACCTCCTAGGAGTGCAACTGCTTCCCCTTCCAAGGCACTCAAATGTCATAGAAGGGGAGGAGTCTAAACTGAAAATTCAGTTTCTCCAAGAAACCTGGGAATGTTCTGGGCAGGGAATACATTACTACGTAGTAGGTCTGTTAATCACTCAAGCTAGGCAAACTTCATTGAAAACTAAAAACGGTGATCAGTATCACTTTACTTCTAAATGTACAAAAAGCCCTTCCTTGAGTAAGAAGAGCAATGATACATTTCCAGGATTAAGAGGCAAAAAAATCATTGTACATTTTCAACAGGCAGGGTCAAATTGGTAAAGGGTTCTTTGAATGAAATTTACTGCTCAGTAATAGTCTTTCACATATGGCTTCTTAATTGACCTCCTCCTAAGAGTGGCTGCAGATTTTTGTTATGTCCTCTTCAGAGTTCCTCAGGACACATGACCATCTCTCCAAATGAAGGCACAAAACTCTGGCACAAAAGAACATTTACCACGTGTTATATTTGTTGGAATGACAACTCCAAGGAAAAAGCAAAGTACAAGTATGATTAAAGTTTTAAAAGCTTTATTTAAATGTACTTTGTACCACTTCCCTAGACTTCAGGGTCTTCCCATTACCTTTTCAACAACAAAGGCAACAACAAAGGCAATTTTTAGTTATTTGCCTTAATACTGACAGGAAACAAAAGCCTCTTGAATATCCACTAGTTTGGCCCTATAAGCCAAACTAGCTCATTATACTTTTCTCTATAAAAATCAACAAAGGCTTTTTCAATGATGCTTAAACCTGAGTTGTGTTGGAAAGACTAGCAGTTGTAGTATTATGGCCATTGTTGGGAGATATTCCTAGACCAATGCTATGGCCTTACCCAAATGTTGTAAAACAGAGTCTACAATTTATTTTACTATAAAAAACCATTTAGTATTTTGAAACTTAGTATTTATAAAAACTTTTTTCATTCAAATTAAGTGTAAAGTGCTCCCTTTACAGCTAACAGTTTTAACCCTTTTGAAATGATGTATGCCTACTCAGAGTTTAACTGCTGTATTTTCATATTTACAGAATTCCACATAAATTGGTGACACAGCATAATTTCATCTTAGTTTACACTACCATAATCAGATTGTGGCAGATTTAATCTTTGTGTAGAGGAAAATTCTATACATGACAAACCTTTAGGGTATATAATGTAGCTCATCACACGAGTTATGTTAAGGGCTAATAAAAAGCCTATTTTCCCATTCAGTGTTAGACATTACAGCCAAATCCAACTGAAAACTGAAAAACTTAAGAGCTAGAAGTACTCAATCAACACCTTAGAAATAATCAAATTCCACCCTTCTATAGTTGAAGAAATTGAGGCTCACAGTATTTACAGGATTTGCTCAAAATATATTAAGCAGCAGTCAGGACAATCCAATGGATCTAATAATATTTCTATCAAACCATGATTAGTACATTTTAGAAACGTCAATAAATGAAAATAGACTTTAATGTATATAAGAGAAGAAAAACTCCATTTAAATGTAAACGTTTCCATAAGACAGTATTACAGGAATTTTGGACCTTATACAATTCCTATGTAAAAATTCCCACATAAAACAAAAAGTCTCACCTACTACTTATACTTCATGTTTCTTTGAAGAAACAGTAACTTAGACATTGAAAAAAAAAAAGAATATTTGGGAAATTCACCTATTGTGTATTATACCATTAGAAACAGATGCTAAAAAAAGACATTTTACAATGGCAGAAAACATACACTGAGATTCCACACCAGTCTTTATTTATATTTTGGGGCCTTCATTAAACAAATCTTGTAATTCCCTCTTTCAAATTACATTTTATTCTCTTAATGGTGTGGTATAACCCCCATTGCACAAAAACAAATATGATTAATACACTAGAAATACTTTAAAAGAGAAACCCAAGACAGTTTTATTAATCAATTCAGACCCATGATTGTCTCAAAAATCGAATCTACTGATTTTCTGGTGGTGTCATTTTAGAAGATTTCATAACCAAATTATTAAGTATCTAGTCAACTTATGTGTGTTAGCATTCACATCCCAAATCATGGAAGCCCTATTTCAGAAAATCTTACCACTAAGGTCAACATACTTCATTACATGTCAGTGAAATGATGATTTCTCTAAATTATCCATAAAACCCGAAAAACCCAAATATCTAATTATAACACTGATGTATCTACTAATAATCACATATATCATGACTGTGTTTTAAAAAATATCTACAGATTTAAATAAGAAGCTTGCATATTATGGCAGAGTAAATAAAACTGTCAAATACTATTTTTGGCTCTAGTCATTTGTCTTGCCCAAAAATGTGCATATCATAGCCAACAGAACTTTTCTGTAGAATTTTATTTTGAAAATATTATTTCACCTGAAGATTGATCTAAAAAACATTTTAAGATATGAAAATGTTATACAACTTATCTATTACAAATTAATCTGATAATTCTGCAATTAGGTACATTGTGTTAGCTCACCTACATAAAAAATATTGCACATTTTCATTTTGTCTCCACGTGACTGATGTCTAAACTATATAGAATTCCAAACTATTTAAAAGTTATTCTGTGAAATATCAACTTTATAAATATCAGAACTAAATGCACTGTAAAACAACCATTTTGGTAAACATGCATTTATTCACAGTTGATTTATTTCCTCTAGATAAATGCATAACTGCTCAAAATTTAAGAACCTATGTAGAGGTACAAGAGCACACTTACAAATCTATTTCTACCTTCATTTTGAAGAAACACTGATCTTGGCAAAAATCTGGCTTATTTTAAAATGAACTATTGCTGGTAAGAAGGCATTACTTTAAAACTTTTCCGTGACCTGAACTTCTTCTTTTCCTTTTTAAACTAAAATGTAAAAGCGTTTGTTTTCAGAGATGTATCTATTGTGGCATAAGTGAATAATCACATAAAAACAGACCCTGAAAGCAGTTGAGCATTTAAATGCCTGCAGAGCCTCATTTTACTTGTAAGTTATGACTGCCTTAAATAGCTAGACCATTCACTGATCATAATTGTAAGAAAGTGACAAAACCAAATCATTTTAAGGTCATGAAATTGACACAAACCTGCATAATACAGCATTCCTCCACTGAGCTGAGGTCATATTACACTTTAAAAATATAAATAAATATACTGAATTGTGAGTCTTATTTCTGTCATACCCCAGTGTTTAAAATACGCTTCTAAAACAGAAGTGGATAACTGCAGAATACAGTTCCAGACTTGACTAATAGTGTCATAACACAATTGTTCCTTATAAATAACTCTAATGATGCACTGGCTTGATTGATTCCAGCAATTTCATTGTACAGAAGAAGTAAACCATACTTTATACACAGAAAATATATTACTTGAAAATCCTCAAAATAGGAAGAAAAGTTTAGAAAGCTTTCAAATGTTTCCAAATGAAAAGTAAAGATCTATTTTTGGCCCTCTTCTACACCCTTAAAGTTGGAATTTGACAAAAATCCATGGGTACAATTTACAAACTTTGACAAACTACTAAGTTAAAACCATTTTCTTTGGGGAAGATGAAAGGAAGTACCTTTAAAACCTGTTATACAAAATTCCAGCTGCCTTTTTATAAAAGTACGTTCCTTAGATTAAAATCATAAAATTAAGGTGCAAGAGGTTAACAAAAATGAACTGAAGAGCTTTATTGACATCACAGTACATTCAAGAATAATTTTAAGAACATTACAGCTGAAAGAGAATGGCATGTTTATAGTCTTATTAAGCACTATTTTTTTTTTTTTGAAAAAAATGTAATACAAAGAAATCCTATTAAGTAACTTGGAGCAGCATTTGGAAAAAGTACACCTATTTACAGATTAAAAAAAAAAAAAAAAGATTCTGGTTTCACCTACACAGCCACAATGTGCCTCTATAATGAGACAAGCCCTTAAAACTCATGGAATTTTTTAAACATCATGGCATTCTTGCCACATCATTCCTCAGCGTTTACGACGGGGAGGGGTTGTTGATCTGAAAAAAAAAAAGGGAAAAGACAAATTTAAAAATAAAAATGTATTTTAAACTAAAGAATCTGCAATTTTTAAATAAATATTATTATATAGGATTTCTAAAATTACTTAAGACTATGATCATTTATCAAGTACCAAACTGAGTTTATTAAAGAGAGAGAGAGAAAGGACACTTTCAACTTTGAATAAATTCAGTCAAATTTTTTTTTTTTTAAATCAGACAAAATACTTTAAAAAGTATACTACCTTGATCGGGACTTAGACTTGTGTTTGCGGCTTGCCTTCTTACCAGACCTTTGAGATTTCTCCATGGATCGCGATCGACTATGTTTAGGCTTCTTAGCCTTCTTTTCTTTGCTACTTCCTGGAGATTCAGAACTGCTCCTTCCACTAGAATCAGAGCCTGAATGTTTTTTGCTATCTTTGGTAGTACTTTTCTTACTATCCTGTCTAGAATCATGTCTGATAATTTTAACAGATATAGAACCACTCCGAGAGAATGTTCTTTCACTTTCTCGTTTCCTTTTTAACCTATCATCCTGACTACTGAACTTAAAATCTTTTTCTTCCCTTTTTTGTTTCTCTTTCCTTTTATCCTGTTCTCGTTCCCTTTCTTTGTCTTTCTTTTTCCTATCTTTATCTATACTTCGGCTCCTCTCCTTTTTTCTCTCTTGTTCTTTAGCCTCACCTTTATGCTTATGACTGCTCCCACTAAGATTTCCACGTTGATCATCAATTTTACGCCTATCTCGACTCCTACTGCGACTGGACCGATTGGTTCGCCTATCCCTTGAGCGACTTCTACTTCTACGTCTCTCTCGAGAAGGACTCCGATTTCTTCGTCTTTCCCTTTCAATGCTATTTCTATTAGATCTCCTCCTATCTCTAATCTTTACTCTAGCCCTATTGCTCTCTATTTTTATTCTGCGTGAGTAACTTCTACTTCTACTCCGTCTAGCTTTAATTGTTGGAGATCTACTCCTACTATGTCTTTTTTTCCTTTTAGGAGAAGAAGATCGAGAAGAAGTGCGACTACTACCTGAGCTAGAACTGTATGAAGAGCTAGAGACAGTACTACTAGTACTACTAGTTCTGCTATTGCTACTGGAACTACCACTACTAGAACTTCCTGATCTACTCCTTCCTTGTTTCTCTTTCTCTTTATGCTCTTTTTTTGGTTCTAAAACTGACGTAGTTTCATTTGGAGTTCTTTTCTTTTCATTAACCACATCACCATCTGCTTCTCTTGCTTCTAGTAGTGATAAACTATTTTGCTCTTTATGGATAAATTCATTCATCTCTTTTGTAACCCTTTCTGTTTGCTGCTTTTCTTCTGAAACAGAAAAAGACAAAAATACTATGAAAAGTCAATTGTATAATGAAAATAACTCCCAAACTACCAAATTTCAAGCTATCAGATGATAACAGAACAGCATTGTTCAACAGAAATAGGATACAAGCCATAAGCAATTCAAAATTATCTAGTGACTACTTTAAAAAAATAAAAGATGAACTTAATTTCAATAGTTTATTAACCCAATATATCAAAAATATTACCATTTCAACATGTAATAAATTTAAAAGCATACTAAGATATTCTGCTATTGGGAGGACACAGAAAATCTTTCAAATCTACTGTGTATTTTATACCTATGGCATATTTCAATTTAGGGTTAGCTACATTTCAAATGCTCAATACACCAACTAGAGTACCAAAGTGTAAAGGTACATTTGAAGCAAAGAGAAAAGATTTCTCTTTTGTCCAATAAGGCAACTTAAATAAGTTAGGTAATTTATAGGGAATTTTCAACTGCTAACTCAATAATTACTTTTCCAATTGTCCAAGTATGACTTTTTCAAAAACTTCAAACTATTCCTGCAGTATTCCTAGTATTATATAGACTATAAAAAACTAGTCATATGTAGTATTTTGCATTTAAAAACTTCTATAAAAAGCCCTCTATTTCCAAAATATTACTAGCTGCATGTTAAATATCCTAGCTACAAGTTATTTTTCAATAGTTTTACAAATAGATTTCTGCCATCTCAAAAGCTTTCTTTTTCATTTTTGAGAACTTTAGAAAGAAATAAAAATACCCTAAATAGCTTAACTTACAGCTACTGAAATTAATATCTTACAAAACTAGACAAAGTTTACCTTTTATAAACTACATATTTTGAATACTAATTTTGAGACTCCAAAGAAGCCAAAACTTTGGTTTCGGTTGTATCACATAATGTCTATATATTCTAACGTTAATTCTATCCTTGTTATTGTTAGGTTGGTTAAAAAATAAAAATACAAATAAAACTGGACAAAAATTAAGAGAGTCTAAAAGGTATACCTTCCATCTGTTTATCATGTAACAGCTGCTGTTCTTTTTCTTTTCTCCAAAAAGCTTCCTGTTTTTGCCGGATTCGGTGCCGTAATTCCTCATCATCAGTGTCAGATGACTCAGAGCCTCTGTCACTCCTCTCATCTTCACTATCTCCCGATCCATAACCACCCAGTCCACCTGTGTGTATAAAGCGCAGTCTATCATATAGAAAAATTATTCCATGCACTAAAAAATTTTTAAGGTCTGAGAAGAAAGCTAATTTCTTTTTTCATTGCCTTATCTTGGAAGGATATGCTTATTCGGGGTGGGGAGAAGTATAAATTCTAATTCTTAAGGAGTTCATAGAGCCCTCCTGAAAATTAATAGAATCTCATTCTTCCTGGAATATTTCATATATTTCTCACCATGAAGGAATGGTGTAAGGTATAATGGTATAAAGAAAGGATAATGGTTTTGTTTTACTGTCCATACTAATCAACAAAACCATTTAACAGGGCAATAACAAAGCCTCACTAAACCAGTCAATTCAACTACCAATAATCCTAAAAATACTTCTAAAATTAATCCTTTCATTGTTCAAAGCTCAAAAATCCCAGGTAATACAATTCTCAAAAGTACAGAAATGGTATAGTGCTAAAACTACTCCCCACCCTGAAGTGACCTAAATAGTAATCATAACAAAATCACATGGGCATTTGGTTCTACCCATTTCTGTTGATCCCCACAAAGATTAATTTGAAATGATGCGGAAAAGGCACATTCAAGCTTTTATATACTTGAGAATATATCATGCAAAGAGCAAATTATGAACACATCACTACTATTATACTATGATAAGATAAACTCCTTTCCTCTATGTTAAAACTCAACTTGCTACAACACAATCTAAATAAAGGTGCTTAAAAGCATTAGTGGATAGGTTCTTCCCTAAAGCATGGATGCAATAATTTTGAAGGTGAGCTTAAATATTATCACAGCTTAATTATGAACTACTGCAACTTGCCCCAATAAACTATGAATTAGTCACATTTATAATCCCTCTGTGAATGCTTTAGTAAAAAAAAGATAGACAAACCTTTTAGAGACTGATATAACCCTAAGACCTAGATTTTATAAACTGAGTAGGAATAGTACAGTTTCAAAACAGAACATGTAGAGAGACAAGGTAAGTGTGATTTTCCCTTTAAGGCCCTCTCACAAATAAGGAAAACACTTACCGAGTCCAGTGAGGGAAGCCAGTGCACTGGACTGTGCCAGCTGTTTTGCAGGAGCTTTGTATCACATCAACAACAGGAACAACATGTTAACACAAATAGCCACGATTTCATAGTCATGAGAGTCTATGGTATTGTTAAATCTACTACTATTGCTGCTTTTTGGGGAGAGAAGAAACATTAAAAACATAACATTCACTTTAAACCAGTAGCATGTCTGGCCTTGAAATTTTAATTCTGAAAATGAGTGAGCTGAAATTGGTTTATAACGAAGAAAAATGTTGACCAGTACATCAGTATTTTATTTTTGAGGTTATGGCCCATAATTTAAAATCTGCTTTTGATATATTTTCTAAGTGTTACTAAAAATATGGGAGGTGGGGATGGGTAAATTTCTTGCTTCTGTAAGAACTACAAGTGGTAAATTGTGAAAACTAAAGGTTCATAATTCATTAATGAAACTAAACTGTATTAAAAGTTATACACCAATACCACAATATCTATAAAAAAAAAAAAACTCTGAAATGAATTGAACATCAAGAATTTTTCCACTACGCTTTTTATGGAACAATAGCATAACTGCTCATTTGTGCTCAGGCAAGTTGGGTAAAAGAAAAATACTTGTATACTTGTATAGTTTTAATATGGTATCTACAAATCTAACCTTTCCCAGAGAGTTAAAACATGCAAGAAGAAATATTCAAGTATCTCCTAGAATTCAGCAAGGACAACAAAAAAAAAAAAGTCCAAAAGAGCCACCAAAACCAAAATACTCCCAGAAAAACAAAACTAAGAACACCCACAATATACCTTTCGTTGCTTTCCGGTGTGCATCTTTGGCTACATAATAAATTTCTTCATCTGTGACATCCAGTAGAATTTCGGTCAGAAGCATTTTTGTCAGCAACATCTATGAAAGGGTATTTTATGTGTTTATAAAAAAATTAACAGCCAAAGCCATTTTATAAACATTTTTTTAAAGATTTATTTATTAAAGAGAGAGAGAGAGAGAGAGAGAGAGAGAGAGAGAGAGAGGGGGGGGGGGCAGAGGCAGGCTCCATGCAGGAAGCCCAACATGGGACTCGATCCCAGGTCTCCAGGATCACGCCCTGAGCCAAAGGCAGACACTAAACCGCTGAGCCACCCAGGCGTCCCGGAAAGCAAGTTATCTTGAAAATTATTCTAAAATACAAAAACTGGGGCAGCTTGAGTGGCTCAGTCAGTTAAGCACCTGACTCCTGATTTCAGCTCAGGTCATGATCTCAGGGTTGTGAGATGGAGCCCCATGTTGGGCTTCATGCTGGGTGTGGACCCTGCTTAAGATTCTCTCTCTCCCTCTGCATCCCCACCTTTCCCTCTCCAAAAAATAAACAATAAAAAAACAAAATTTTAAAAATCCTATACATGGTAAGAAATTTAAGATTCTACCATTTGATACTCTTTCTCTTCTTCAGTCATCTCTGGTTCACTCTGCTCTTCTTGAGGAACTGGAGATGGACTTCTGGTGACTTTTCCACTACTAGCAGCCTCAACATTTTCAGTGTCTTCATCTTCCTCATCACTATCCTAAAAAAAAGTAATAGTATGGGTAGCCCAACTTCAGGCTTATAATATAAAATCATTATCTTACACATTTTTTTAAAACCCCAAATTAAAAAGTCTATGAAACAAATATATAAAAATGAAATTTCTAAATTATATTTTTGATAAAATACAAATAATCTCTTACCTGAGAGGAAATGTAAGATTATGAGATAGCTTATAAGAATCAATTATTTTAATTCCTTTCCAACTTTTTTTCCTTAGTCAATTTTGACTTTATTTTACCAGTAAGTAACTAGGAATAGATCACGCCAAGACTGATTTAATATCGATTATATATGATGGTCCTGAAATGAGTGGCTTGTAAAACTTTGGATAAATGGACCACATTCATGTTATTCAGTATAACCTTTTTAACTATAAATTTAAGCTATTTACCTAAAATCATGTGACTTAAAATTCTGTAGTTTCTAGATCTTAGCTGGCTCTGAAACTTAGTGAAATTTGCCCCTTTTCACTGTAAAACGAACAGGTAAGAAATGAGGTCTACTTCATATAGGGAATGCCAGCAGTCTGTTTCTAGCTATCAGTTTTCAATACCCAAATAGCACACCTTAAAAAGAGAACTCTTCTTTAGGCAAACTGTCCTACAGTTACCCTTAAAAATCCTAAGTAAAAGGTGATCATTGTAATACTCCAACAAGAAAATATAGGTTTGTTTCTCAAGGTGAGATCTATCTAGCATCCCACAGAATAATTCCTCTCTGAAAAGAACATTTTCAAATTGAACTCCAATTAAAAAAAAAAAAAAGAACATTTTATAAGCTTACTGCTCCTTTCCTCCTTATTCACCCTCAATAACAACATACACAATCATAATTCTCAAAATACTTACTAAAAGTAATCTCAAGAACATTATACTAATACTTTTCTATAGGCTCCATTAGTTTTTTCTTTCAATAATTTTCACACATAAATCACACAGACTTCCATGTTAAGTGATTCTAATACTCACAAATTTACTTCTCTGAGGTAAACGAGGGCCATCTCCTCCTTCAGCATCTTCTGTGGCCTTCTTTTCTTTTTTGGACAACTGTGAACGTTGTTGCTCCATTCTTTCTTTCTCCAACTTCTTTTGCTTTTCACGTTCCATTTTTTCAAGACCTTCTCGAATCCAAGCTGGAAGAGTCCTGCGTTTTACTGCATCTGTTTCACAAGGAAAAAAGTACCTGTAAGTTAGTTAAGTAAAAATCATAAATGCAGGAGTTCCTTATTCTTGAATTTCTACAAACTTTGTAAGTTAAAGAATTCTGAGTAAATAAAGAGTGCTTATAACTATCATTCTCTACTAAGACAGTGGTAAAGCAACCCATTAACCATTATGCTTCTCTTTAAGATCATTTTTAATGATAGCAGTGAATATTGTGTTAATGCTTATAATGAGCCAGGCACTATGAAAGCACATTATCTTAATTCTAAAAAAAATAATAATAATAAAAAAAATAAAAAATCACTATTACTCCATCTCTTTTTCAAATAAGAAAACTGACACTCAAAAAGATTAAGTGATGTGCTCAAAATTAAAAAGATAGTAGCAGAGATGTGGGCTAATTCCAAGCCAAACTTACATTGCTTCTTAAAATATGAAAATAGAACAGAGTCAAACAAAAGTATAAGTCTATTTTCACAATGAGAATTCATCTGAACAAATATGATTCCATAAGTTAAAGAAGAAATTAGAATCTTCCTAAAATATCTACTTTGTAATAAAAAGTTAAGACTTAAACGTTCTGGTCTATTAAGTGTTTGATTTGGATTTCTAGATATAAAGTAGTGTAAGTTTGTAACTTGTCATTAAACCTAAATTAGTTGTAATAAAATGATGAAAATTAAAGCTTCTGCCAAAATATTTCTGGAAAGTGAAATAATAAAAGGAAAATTAATCTGACATTAGTGTGTCAGATGAACTGGGAATGGAAAGAGACCAGAGACAGAGAACAACTAAGAAGTTTTTAAAGGGGAAACTTCATATACTGGCATAATGTATCAAACTGTCAACAATGAAAAAAATATCAAGATGCTATGGCCATGGGGCGCCTAGTGGCTCATTTGATTAAGCGAATGCCTTCAGCTCAGGTATTGATCCCAGGGTCCTGGGATGGAGCTCTGCACTGGGTTCCCTGCTCAGCCAAGAGCCTGCTTCTCCATCTTCCTCTGCCCCTCTCCACTGCTCATGCTCTCTCAATCTCTCTCTATTCTCTCTCAAAAAATTAGTAAAATCTTTAAAAGCATAAATAAGACCAAAAAAAAAAAATGCTATGCCTATGATAAATTTAAAATTCATCACAAACTCTGGAGTTTAAGGTAACAATTTATTTTAAAATTATTCAGAATTTTTTATCTTTTAGACCATTATCTTTTTTTAATTTTAAAGGTTATGCCTATAAAATCATAGGGTTTTAAACTATCAATTCCTAACATATCAAAAGTATAACAAAACTTAAGAAAACAAAACACTCTCTTTACATGATTAAGAAATCATGTCAATTGTGGTTCACTAAACTTAAATAGCTACCAATTTGTGGAGGCTCCTGCTTCACAGGAAGTGCAATAGGTGATCGCTGCCGATCCCTGAATGATGATGGCCTTTCTCTTCGATTCTGGGGAGGTGCTGGAGGTCCTGGAGGTCCTGGTTGCCAATAAGGAGGATGAAATCCACCTTGCGGTGGACCAAAAGCAGCCCCATGCTGAAAGAGTATTGCAGTTTATTTTTCTTCACATTAATACAATATACTCTCTGGGACACACGTGTGTTATGAACTGGGACAGTAGAAATCCATGTGTGCAGCAAATCCAAGAATTCCATGGTTCTAATATCCACCGATATTTCTGTAGCCCCAAGACCTAGGCTTACTTTTTCTTAAGAAAAGTAAAGATTTTCTACCTATGTAAATGCAAAGAGTCATCTAAAATTCAGCTAATACACTATTTTCAACAAGTATAGAAAAGGATATATGTATGCCCTTTTTCATTCTGAATCCATTTATAAACTAATCCTTCCACTACCAAGAAATCAAATGTGAATTTTTCTGGAACTAGAAAATACAGGAAAAAAATTTTTTTAATCAATTCCAACTTATTTCTTATGGGAACTTAAATTGTTTCTATAATCTAGCAAGAAGTATCTATTTTAACAAAATAAAACTTACTATCATTAAATATTTTTTGCAATTTTGCGATTTTCATTGGCCCATTTCGTTGGCCCATTGCCAATGGAGCTGTCTTGTTAACATAGAGATCTATCAAGATAATAGGGTGTAAGTAGAAGCTCCTGCTACTACATCTCTTCAAAACCGAACCAAACAAAAACAGTCATATCTGTATACCAAGGATGAGTATACCACAATTATGTGAATATGTATGAATAAAGATTATTCTCAAGGTGAATATTAATTTACATTTATGTCCATTATTAATCTAGTTAGTGAAACAACATATGAGTTTTTTTCAAAATTTTAAATTATACTAGCTCAGTTTATAAGGTAACAACTGCAATCAGTTATTTCAAAATGACGCCTAGTACCATAATTTAAGGGTGGACCCTTGGCAGAGTAGTTAGAGAAAATATAGCCCCACATAATAGTACTATTCCCCATAGAGTTCTATGTCCCTAGGAATGAATTAGATGCTACAAAGGAGATTATGTACAATTCCATTAACATGTCATGTCAAAATGGAAAAAAAAATCACATCACTAGAAAAAGTCCTAATTCTACATAGCAGAAGGAACTGCATTTAGGAAGATGATCTGTTCTTCATGTATTTTATTCATGTCTTATCCATAATCTATTATTGACAAATAATGTATTCAACTACTGCGCATTTTCTAAACTTTATTCAACATTTAAATATACCATTTTGAAATTATTAGAAAACAAAACATCATATAGCTATTGAACTTACACATTTTTCATTTTATCCAAATCTTTCCTAATGATCCTTTATATCATTCTCCTAAGCAAATCAAAAACCAAAAAATAAGAATCTAATGATTTTAATACTCAAAAATTGGTAACTTTTCTGAGACATAATATTATGTGTTTATCTGTACAAGACTGAAAAGTGAAACACAGATCTTAGGTACTCTTGATGAGACACTTCCAAAGAATGGATTACGTGCACATCTACAATATTAAAGCAACAAAATATCTTTCACCTGATAGTCAAACTGGTTCACTGGCCCCACTGCAAAATTATCGGGTGGTCCACCAAAGTTGTGATTGTTCTGGTTAAATATATGCCTGTTGTCAGGGGCAAATTCCCCACTGTCCTGACTGTTGCTGTCTTCGGAAGGAGGAACAATGTCCATTGGGCCTGGTGTTGGTGGCATCCATGGCTGATCTGGAGGGGGGTGTGGGGGCTGCTGATGCATTCCCCATTCTATTTAGGATTTAGGCATAAAAACATTCAACAGGGGGTTATAACAAAATCAACACAAATTTTTAAGATCTCAAGAAAGATTTTTCAGCAAAGAAACAGATTTAAAAATTTATGACTTCTTGGTCAAATTCCTCTAGTATATCTTTAAAATAAGCAATTAATTAAACTAATAAATAATTCAAATGAGCTAACTCCACTCTAATTCATATCCTAAACATACGGAAATCAAATGCCTCAAATTGTTTTTTTTAATAAACGTAACAGAACCCAAAGCAATTTTTTTGTTCAATTTTTCTATTTCTGTTCAGTAACAATACCATAAAAAATAACACCTTGAGACTTTATATATAATTTCTTTCTCGCATGAACACATTTATCCTCACAACATCCCTGTGAGGTAGGGAGAAATCAGGTATTATTTTTGCCAATTTCAGGAGGGGAAACTGAGGCACACAGAGGTTAAATCACTTGCCCAGGTCACAAAGAAAGCCAGTAGAATAAATTGGGGAGTGGAAATGCCAGGGTGAATCATTTATGAACTTGAACTTGGGAACCAAAACATTTTCAAACCTGGGGAAATTTGGGGTAGCTTCGAGGAAACTAGAAATAAACTACCTCACAGTATCAAAGATTAGAATACTCATTATTCTTTTAAAAGTGAGGTTAGAGTATTACCTCCTAAGTTTTCCACTCTTACATTGAGGAACAGTGTCAATAGGGAAAGGGAGATTAAAACTTCACCATCAACATACTCAAATAGAAGATTCCTCTATAAATATTTTAAAGTGACTATTAAAAAGTTAAAAATAGCATCACAAGACACGGAAAACTGAACTAGCATCAAGAAATCTAAATCATACTGTGAAGTAAAAAAGCAGGCAAACAAACAAAAAAATAAAACATAAAAACTTATGGAAGATCTTCACTATCTGAAAAAAACAGGAAGAAAAAGATGGGTGGATGGTAGGGGCAGAGAATATTTGACAGACTAATTTGTCACATAGTGACACAGTATTTCTTTAATTAGAGGCTAGACATGTTTTGCTCTGCCAGTGCTGCTTCTGAAAAGGCCAGAGGTTGCAACAGAGAGACATAGAATGCTCTCTTCCCTAGATGCCAAGTGAGGTTTCCAGTGTTCCCAGCCCCTGTCAGCCTAGGAATGAAGAACCGAGAAAAGAATCAAACTGAGTGCCACAATGCTAGCAGACTGAGTACAGAATAAATTTAACCATAAAATTTCAAGGTCAAATCTAAATCAAACTGCCTATTCTTTAAGGAGCATTAATTTCAAGAAGTCATAAAACTAAGCAAATTAAAGTTTCATTTAATCCACATTTTATTTTTAAAATAGTCATAAAATCTGGATAACATGAAATAACAAACCTGGTTGCCACATTCTGTTAAAGTTTGAATCCCCTTGGAAATTCCCATGATTGTTTGGACCGGATTCCATTGTAGACATGTCCTGTCCATTTGGCATCATCCCTGGTGGCTGTTCTACCATACTCTGCTGCCCCGAGGCTTCTCTTTGGGCAATCCAAGCTTGAGCCAACGCAGCCCAGTCAATCTGGCCTGTAATTTACCATAGCAGAATTTAGCAAGTCAGAATTTAAGAGCTAAAAGAATAGTGCCTCAACGTAAAACAATCATCTCAGCTATGCCTTACTAGAGATTTTAAATATTACAGAATATTATGGCTGAGGGATCCCTGGGTGGCGCAGCGGTTTAGCGCCTGCCTTTGGCCCAGGGCGCGATCCTGGAGACCCAGGATCAAATCCCACGTCGGGCTCCCGGTGCATGGAGCCTGCTTCTTCCTCTGCCTATGTCTCTGCCTCTCTCTCTCTCTGTGTGACTATCATAAATAAATAAATAAATAAATAAATAAATAAATAAATAAATAAATAAATAAATAAATATAATAATAATAATAATAAATAAAAGATTTAAAAAAAAGAATATTATGGCTGAAAAGATGCTTAGAAAATAACCCATATTCAGGCTACAAAATAATGTAACCATAAAACTTTCAGAAAACACTCTTAACTGATTTCTGACACTAACTCAAAAGAAATTTACCCCCTGTATCTTAGTTTACTATAAAAACCAATGATCAGGGGCACCTAGGTGGCTCAGTCAGTTGGGTGTCTGCCTTCAGCTCAGGTCATGATCCCAGGGTCCTGGGATCCAGCCGCACCTTCGGGGGGGGGGGGGGTCCCTACACAGCAGGGAGCCTGCTTCTCCCTCTCTTCCCTGCTCATGCTATCTCTCGCTATTTGTCTCTCTCCCTCTCTTTCAAATAAATAAATAAATTCCTTTAAAAAAATGATCAAACTCAATTCTTCTTCCAACAGGTCCTATTTAGGCCTACACTGGAGCCTAAGACTTCAGAGTAGTATACCTATTCCTGTTCCTCCTCACAGTCACCCTTCTTAACATACAGCTCCCTTCTCTAGTCAAATACATCTCCCTTAACAATTTCCTAGTCATTCTTTACTCAAAATGTATTCCCTTGCTACATTAAAGGTCCTCTTCCTTCTCCAATATATATACATAATATTTTAAAATCTTATATTTTTAATAAAGAAGACAAAATAGAATACAATGTTTTTTTCACATCTCAATAAAGATCAAATAAGTATTCTCATATATTTTGGTGGAAACAGACTGGCATAACACAGGTGGAGCTGAACCTGGGCAATGTGTATCTGATATATCTAAAACTTTTCAAATGTGCAACATTGATGTAACAAACCTAGTTCTTGGATGTTTTTTCCCCCTCAGCAAATAAATGGACAAGTACAATGCAAAAACATGTATACAAAATTATGGTTATTATTTCAGAAAGTAAAAAGCTACACCCAATCATCCAAAAGTGATGTACTAAACTATAGTCCTGTAACAGAATGCTATGTAGCTATTAAGAACAGAAATAGTATCAGATTAACCCAATAAAAGGGCAGTGGAAGGGGTCATGTTAATGAAATAAAATTATGGTGAATAACTGTTAAAACTAAGTAATACATGGGGGCTCCCTATATTCTTCTCTATATCCATACATGATCAAAATACTCCATAATAATAAGAAATTTTTAAATCATATCTATAGCATACCATCAGTCGACTATGAGTTACATAGAATTGTAAGACCTGGCATTAACAACAGAAGTATGCTTTACTTAAGTAACACATTTAAGGAAGAGTTTCCCCTTTCTTGTGAAAAGCAAGAACTAAATCAGTCTTAAAATGAAAAATATTTGTAAATCCTTTTACTCTTTGGGGAAGTCCCCTAAAGAGAAATCCATTCCCTAATATGTATGCTATGTAATAATATTTCCAATAAACCAATTCCACTTCCCTTAATCCCATGGCCTATCTCCTACTTATCTCTCTCTCTCCTTCCCCAACTTCCAATTCAATTTGTTTCCTTACTTGGATCCTGCTGGTGCTGGAATGACTGCATCCACTGTTGCTGGTTCAAGGGCCATTGCTGCCAAGGCTGTCCTCCTTGATCCCACATGCTGACTTTTAAAATAGATCTGATTTTCTACCTTTAACAAAATAAATAGTTTAAAATGAGAATGAGAGTTCTTTAATTTTAAAAGCTCACACATCAAAATTATAGGATGATACATTTATGTGATCAGAGCTCTAAAATTCTGGTCAACAGGTTGCCAGAGGCAACTGGAATTTTTAGGTTGGCAAGCAAAAGTATAAATTCTCATGTTAATGATGGTATCAGAGCTTGATGGCAAGCATAACTTTAATCAATTTAGCTCAAAAAGATGGAAAAAAATCTATTTTTTTCCAATACAGATCTCTGGAAATGGAGTTATTTTAAAGATTATAGGGAAAAAAGTGATTTTAATCTCTCCCCAACCAAGACTCACTAAAAAGGGTAACGAAACAGCTCTAGCTGATGAAGGAAAACTCTTCCTTATAAATAATTACAGCTAATGAATGCAGAAGTAGAATAGACTTAGAAAATCACCATATTACCAAACCTAATGAAACAACTGATTCAGGAAATCTTAAAAGTTGATAGGAAATCACAAAATCAAAGGGTGCTGAACCCTACAAGGAGCCTCCCTCAAGAGGTACAGCATTATGCCCCCAGAATCACTATGAATATTTTCACCAAAAGTGTTTAACTGAATCCACTGGAGTTTTTTTTTTTAATATTTTTTATTTTATTTATTCATGAGAGATACAGAGAAAGAGAGGCACAGACATAGGCAGAGGGAGAAGCAGGCTCCATGCAAGAGAGCCCAATATGGGACTCAATCCCGGGACTCCAGGATCACGTCCTGATCCGAAGGCACACGCTTAACCACTGAGTCACCCAGGTGTCCCCATTTGAGCTTTTGGATCTCACTTTCAGGATAAAGAAGTTGCAAGGTACAAAAGAATGACACAGACAGTATCAAAACAAACAATCCGACAAATCCAGAAGGTGAGATAGCCTACAAGACCAAGTTTCTTAAAATGTAAATAGCATGGAAAACAGAAGGAGAGAGAATATATGTTAGTAACTATTAAATCTAGCTGATGGGTATGAGGAAGGGGTTTTATCACATAGTCTACTGTTCTCTAAACTACTTTGAAAACTTTCATATTAAGAAAAAAAAAGAAAACTTTCATATTAAAAAGTTTAGAATTCATACAAATCTAGTATATTTGTGCTTTACCCAATACTGATATACAACCAATGACATACATGGTAAGTAGGGTATGTTTCTTTATTTTTGTACCCTAAGGCAGAGAGCAGGGATTAAATAAATTTTTACTGGGACACCTGGGTGGCTCAGCGGTGAGCATCTGCCTTTGGCTCAGGGTGTGATCCCAGAGTACCGGGATCGAGTCCTGTATCAGGCTCCCTGCATGCAGCCTGCTTCTCACTCTGCCTGTGTCTCTGCCTCTCTCATGAATTAAATAAACAAAATCTTAAATAGATTTTTATTAAATGAATCTTTTTAGACTGACCCTTTCCTCTATTCTAAAAAACAAGACAAAAGCAAGCCTTATCATTGCAGGATCACAAAAAATACGTCAGATTAATAAGGAGTAAGAAACACCCACTAAAATAGGAAAACTGACTGTTACAATTCAGTCTCTTAAGAACATGCAGCTCTAGTCTTTGCAGCATTCATAGAATGTTAGAGTTCTATCAAAGGCAGATTCTGACCTTTCAACTGAATAACACCGTAAATTAGGAAAGATGCATTCCTTTGTTACCTTGACTTACTTATAGTCAAGTGCACTTGACTTCTAGTTACACTAATAGTCTATTATAATGATTTCACTGGACTTTGGCAAAATAAAAACTTAATAAGCACCACACCTGAGACCAACAACAGACTGGGTATCAGTTGCAAGCTACATATGCTTCTTTTTCTAATCTCTCTTCAGATTTTCTTTCTTCTTTCCTTTTTCCCCTCTCCTCTTTTGCAACTCTACCTTTAAACACTTTAAAAGCTATACAACTTACTAGAACTCTTTACAACTTTAATGAAGAGATAACAATAAATAAAATGGAAGCACCCAGAAGAAATACCAACTGCTATTTTGACTGACCTCAGAGGTTCACCTTCTGTTTAAAATTTAGGTTGATTCAGACTACAGCTTGGAAGCATAGCAGCAAGATTACTTATGCCCTGGGGGGGGGGGGGAGAAAAAGAGTATATGTTTACTCTTAGATTATGAAGTTATTAAAATTAATAAAAATAAAGTCTAGAGTTGCAATATAAAAGTGCGATCATCTCCAAATTAATTTGGAGCTTTTTCTTCTATTTAACTTTATAATGAGAAACTATTTACCATTATAAAGTTAAGGGAAATAGATACATTACAAATGAGAAAACTTTTTAACATTTTTTCCTCTCAAAATATCTATTTACTGAAATAATTAATACAAAATAATAAACAATTTATGTACTGTCATATATGCTGAGAAACAAACATTTGAAAAGATCTCATCCACCTGGTATTAACTTAAATGGCACAAAGAAGTAATACAATGCATTAATTTAGATTTTTCTATAGAATACTAAGTTTAAAAATTAACACCAGTAAGGTGAAAAGTTTGTCCCTCAAACGTTTGCATTTTATTCCCATTAAATCAACAGCTTTTAAAAGTTGATAGACCAATCTATTCACCTTTTTCCAGCTTCTCGCACACAGCAGTCATTAAATACCAACTGAAAAAATGGAACGGTCTCTGGCTCCATTTACTTTTAAAGGTTAGTGATAAAGAAATTTTGTATTTATGAGAACGAAAAAAGCTAGTGGAAGCATGGTTTGCTGTATTTCCAAAGCTCTAATGGTATATCAGAACTCAATGCAAAGATTTTTCTGTCATAGGTTATAAACTCATACAGCATAGGCATTTTAACTAGCTATATATACAATGCTTACTAGAGTTGCAAACAGATGTGCACTCACTCCCTACCATCATTTCCAATACACATATTTACTTCTCTAAAAATAACTCTAAACGAAGTTGCTTTTACCTATTCATGTTTACTGGTTGTAATGAACAACTTTTTCTATTCTCCTTTTTAGTTTTCTGAACATCACTTGTAACTTGACCTTCAGAGCACAAGCTCTGTCTGGTTCATCATGCTACCTAAACCATTCACTAGCTGTCTGAACATGGGCAAATTATTCTCTTAGTTTTCTCATATATAAAACGGAAGATATGTGTCTACCTCATAGAGTTCTTGTGAGGATTAAATGAGAAACACATGAAAACTCAGCAGAAGAGCCTTCAAAAAGGTAGAGTTTAATTCACCATAAAGATGGTCTCAGTATCACTTTAGGTAGCACTCCTCAAGTTTACAACTGGGCTGGGAGGGTGGGGGACTGTAGACTTGGTAATCAAGCCATGCCAATTCTACTCAACTCGTTTTTCTTCTTTTTTTTTTTTTATAGAATCTTTTTTTTTAACAATTTTTTTTAATTTTTATTTATTTATGATAGACATACAGAGAGAGAGACAGGCAGAGACACAGGCAGAGGGAGAAGCAGGCTCCATGCACCGGGAGCCCGATGTGGGATTCGATCCCGGGTCTCCAGGGTCGCGCCCTGGGCCAAAGGCAGGCGCCAAACCGCTGCGCCACCCAGGGATCCCCTCGTTTTTCTTCTTTAAAAGCAATCTGAGACTTAACCAGATTAAGTATTTTGGAATACTTAATTTTGGAATTTGTATTTTGGAAAAAATCTCTGCCTGTCCCTACCTCTTACAATATCATAAATTGAAGCTTTTATTACTTAAAAAAAGAAGAAACTTCAAAAGTTTCCTTATGCACAAAAAATTTTTATTTGCATATTTTCAGGAGTTTAATTTGTATTACTTGTAGCCATTGTTTGTTGACCAGTCACTTCTACTTTTACTATGTTTTTCAATGCTTCTTGCCCCAAGTTTTTATGGAAGCTACTATTCATATACAGTGTTTAATACCCTTAGGCTGAGAAAAATACAAGAAGAGAGGTGAAATGGTGAGAAGCAGAACAGAAGAAAAATACAACAAAGAAGGCAACAGTAGAAGTCAAGGAAGTAAGAAGTTAGGTATTTAATAAAACGGTTCAATTCAGTCTGCAGTTGAAAAACTTGACTTGTCTACAGAAGATGTGTGTTAAATGAGGAAATAGGTAAAATAGTCTTTTTGGGAAACAATTTAGCATTACAGTATTTTCTCAACATTGTAAATGCACATTTCTCTGACCCAGCATTTCCACATAAGAACTTTAAACCGAGTATACTCCCCATGTTCCTCAAAAACCTGAAGCATGTTTATAACATGGAACATCTGCTTTTAGGATCACTCACAGGCAGAGATAAAAGTGAACCATATGGTGAATTGTTATTCAGCCATTAAAATGAGTAAGATAAGACTTTTATATGCTGACATATATTGATATATAAATTGCCTTAAGAAGTAAAAAAAAAATGATACAGCATGAATAATTCTGCCACTTGAGGGTTTTTTTCTTATTAAGGATGCAATTTAGTGGTGCGTGGATGGCACAGTTAAGTGTCTGACTTTTGGTTTTGCCTCAGGTTGTGATCTCAGGGTCGTGAGACAGCCCCACATCAGGCTTCACGCTCAGTGCAGAGTCTGCTTAAGGTTCTCTCTCCATCTGCCCCTCCCCACCACACACACACAAGACACACACACTATCTCTCTCTCAAATAAATCTTTTTTTTTTTTTTTAAAGAATGCAATTTGGCATAGAAAATTCCCACATTACAAAAACTCTTAAAAACTAGTGAGCTCTGGGAAGCAAAAAGAGACCAGGAAATGTTGATTATTTTGTATTTTTCTCTTCTTTGAATTATTTTACCATAAGTGTGTATATTTAAGATTTTATTTGAGAGAGAGAGAGAGCACCAGCAAAGGGGGGGGGGGAGGAAGAGCAGAGGGGGAGAGACAAGCAGACTCTGCACTAAGCACTGAGCCTAATGTGGGTGGGGCTCAATCCCACAACCCCTGAGACCTATGACCTGAGCTGAAACCCAAGAGTTGGATGCTTAACGGACTAAACCAGGAGTGTGTATTTTTTAAAAGTAAATCGACAGATTTTTAAAAGTCACAGCAGCAGCTGATCAGCATAGCCCATAGTGACTGATACAGACAATAAACATACAATGTAACTAAGAGACTTTGGTTAAATTACCTAACCTCTGTCTCATTTTCTTATGAAGGATTTAGAGTAATTTCTATAACCTAGTTAAAAAGCGTTATCTCTGGTCATGAGAATAAAATGCAGAGATATGCTGAATTTTGTAAAGGGATAAATTTTAAGACTTAGTATAGTATACTCAGATATTTAATATAAACTTTTATGTATGTTTCAGCATCTATCACAATGCTTGATAAAGGGCTTCATTAATTATTTCCTGATGAAAGAACAGGACTGATTACAAGTGATTTGAAAGCAAGGATTTAGAAACACCATACTTTCTTCTTCACCATATAATCTTTTTTACTAATAAACATAGCAACTGCAAAATCTGGAAAACAAGACTATGAAGTCACATACGACAATAATAAAAAAATTTATCTTGTGGGCAGCCCCAGTGGCGCAGCAGTTTAGCGCTGCCTGCGGCCCGGGGCATGATCCTGGGGACCCAGGATCAGTCCCCCGTTGGGCTCCCTGCGTGGGGCCCGCTTCTCCCTCTGCCTGTGTCTCTGGCTTTCTCTCTGTCTCTATGAATAAATAAAATCTTTTATTTTTTTTAAGATTTTAAAGAGAGAGAGGCAGAGACACAGGCAGAGGAAGAAGCAGGCATCATACAGAGAGCCTGACGCGGGACCCAATCCAGGGTCTCCAGGATCACGCCCTGGGCTGCAGGCGGCGCTAAACCGCTGCGCCACCGCGGTTGCCCTAAATAAAATCTTAAAAATTAATTAATTAATTAATTAATTAATCTTGTAATTCCAGTATTTTTCAATGAAATAACATAGCATTGTATCATTAAAAATGACATTTACACATTGGTTTAATAATAACTTAGAAAATATTGCTAACTGTTAAAGATGAGTGATAAGTACATTATGGTTCGTTACATTCTACTTTTGCACTGTTTGAAAATTTCCATAATGGTAAGTTAAAGATGATTCAGTGTACAGTTACAGAGACTTACATTAAATTCTTTTTTTTTTCTTTCCTCAAACAAGATCTTCTTGATGACAGTCTTATAATTATTTGGATTCTCCATGGTTCTTTGCCCATATTGAGTGGTAAAATATTTTATTCTTCACTGAAATTTATTATCAAGTAAATACACTAATATTCAATGAAGAAAATAACATCCTAATACTGCTACTCTGATTTCATAGCATCAAAAGTCAATTCCAATTTATCTGTCCTTCCTTCAGTCTTAATATTAAAGTAAAGATCCTTAGGCACAACTTCTCAAGTTAGGGAAATTTGATTACAGATTAGCCAGGCTGCAAGCCCTTTCCTTTATGGGATAAATTAACTGCCATCTCCTTGGAAACAATTGGGATTTAGGAAAAACAAAAGGACCGATAACCATGGTCTGGTTCAGATCATCCAAGTTATCACATATGGCTAGAAAAGTCTAGCTCATGACAATGATCACTGTTAGGGAACGAACTGTGTTCTCTTAGAGAGATACATTTGAGTCCTATCCACACTCCCATAAACTTTGAGTGTGACCTTATCTGAAAATAGCGTCTCTGCATATGTATTTTCAAGATGTGAGGTCATACTGGATTAATGTAGGTCCTAATCTAATGATTGGTGTTTTTATTAGAGACACAGACCCACATAGGGAGAACACCAGAACACCATTATGACTGGAGTGATGTGTCTATGGCTAAGGAAAACCAAGAATTGCTGGGAACCACCAGAAGCTAGGAAGAGACCAGGAACGATCTTCACCTAAAACAAGGGTGGGGAGCTGGGAGTGGAGCAAGCAAGTATGGCCCTGCAAAAACCTTTATTTTAGACCGCTAGCCCAGAGAACTGTGAAGAATAAATTTCTGTTGTTTTAGGCCCTCAGTTTACGGTAATTTGTTACAGTATCCCTAAGAAATTAATACAACCAGAAATGATCATCATTTATCTATTTCTTAAATGACTATATTAGAACATTTATTGCTCTGAGGTTCTTAAAATTACTTATTTAAATGACAATCATTAATATTTGCAAAAGTCCTCTCATAGACTAACAGAGATGAGTGAGGATGAAAATGCAGTGTTTGTTTTAAAGCACTTAAACATCAATTGCAAAATCAGAGACAAAGAAACACATCTATCCTTTAATGCATATGGTGATACGTTTCTCACAACACACACAAAGTTTAGAAACCACAAAATTCAACAGTCCTCTTTCCTGCCATTTCAGGCCTACAACACCAGGTGACTGACCTCAAAGCCAAAAAGAATTCATTTGTTCAATTCAGGTTAGGTGGAAATGGCCCCAATAGAGACTAACCTTGTAATCATTTAAAATGTAGTAAAACTTTTGCTACTTGATGGGACATACGTTCTAGTACATATTGAAATACTTTGCAGCTTGCAGATCAAAAGAGGCACTCAAAAAATATTGGAAAATTGGATAGTTTGGTAATAAATACAAAAAAAAAGTGATAATTGAAAAATAAATGTAAAGAGAGAGAGCAAGTCTAAAGGAAATGACATCCCAGGAGCAGAAAGCATACATATCTTGGTTCTAATACCACTCCCCAATAAAGACAATCAGAACCCTTAGAGAAATAACTGATTCTTCAGAGTGAGGAAAAAACATACAGTATGATCCTGGAGCATCTTGTAGTGCCAAGAAGAAAACCGCTAAAAAAAATTTCTTTCAATAAAAAATTTTAAAATTTAAAGGATGGGGGCATGTCACAGTAGACAACTGAAAGGGCTCCCAATGTCCAAAGCTGTTAAAATTTGAGCAACAAAATAAGGTAACACTGCATTACAACACAAATTAGGACAAAAATATCTAAATACTGATATAAATAAATGATTAAGTAAATTGGCAGGGACAAATTTTCCATGCAGAAGAATTCCAAATAAATTGTGTAGATACTCCACCCTAAAGGGAAAACATAACCCTCTAATCCTCAAATGTAAACTGTGCAAAAGGACTTCCTTCCAATGAGTACAGTATGGAAAAGAGGAGGTGAATAGGAAAGAGCAACTACAGTGTAGAAACTTGACAAACACTACTTTAAGCAGGTGATCAAGGTCAGTATCAATGTGATAAATCACATTCATATTACATACCCTCGATAGGATGTCCTGAAAAAAGCACTGCTCCTCTGCGATCTTCCTCTCCAAAACTCCTAATGCCAGTCTTACCATGAGAAAAACATCAAATTCCAGTAGGAGGGCAACCCACAACATATCTGACCAGTGATCCTAAAAACTGTCAAGGTCACTATTATTTTGCTAGGGCTGTCATAACAAAGTACCACACACTCTGTAGCTTAAAGAACAGGAATTTATTTTCCCATACTTCTGGAGGCTAGAAGTCCAAGATCAAAATATCAGAAGGGTTGGTTTCATTTGAAGGCCCCATCTCTTTGGCGTATAGTCCGCTGTTTTATATGATCTCTACTTATAAAGACACGAGTCATGAGATTAAAACCTACTCTAATGACTTCATTTTAGTTCTTTAAAGACCCTATCTCAACATACGGCTACTTCTGAGGTACTGACTTCAACACATTTTTTGTTTTGTTTATTTTTTTGGAGTTCAATTTGCCAACATATAGCATAACACCCAGTGCTCATCCCGCCAAGGGAGGTGGATGAGGGGTTGGGGTAACTGGGTGATGGGCACTGAGGGGGGCACTTGGCGGGATGAACACATTCATTTTGGAGGGACACAATTCAGCCTGAAACACTCATCAAAAACTAAGAAAGCCTGAAAACTGTCTCAACCAAAAGAAAGCTAAGGACACATGACAACTAAACATCATATAGTATTCTAAATGGAAGCCTGGGACAGAAAAAACACATTAAGTTAAAACTCAGGAAATATGAATAAAGACTTCAGTTGTTAATAATGTGTCAGTATTAGTTCATTAGTTGTAACAAATGTATCACACTGACCTATGTTAATAATAAAGAAACTGTGTGTAAGGCAGGGATGTTTATATGGGAACTCTGTACCATCTGCTCAATTTTTCTGTAGATCAAAAACTTTTTTTTTTTTCAAAAACCTCTTAAAAAATAGTGTGTTAATAAATTCTTTAAAAATACAATCTCGTGAACTTCTTCCAATAACCAGTTTACCGTTACTATCCCTATAGCCCCACGACAGTCCCACGGGTGAGTCTTTAGCGTTCAAGTTTTGTTTTGTTTTTTACTTTTGCTTAGCTGCACTTGTCACAAATTCCAAGTTAATTCTGCTCTTCTATGAATTAACCACCAACAATCAAAATCCGTCGCGTGCCCATCAAGTTCAGATAATAATATTCACCGCAAGATAACACAACTGAAGTATTGGATACTCCTCTTTCCCTTGTGAAGCTTAACACGTAATGCCCATCGCTGGATAAAAAAACAGCAAAAATTCCAACTAGGGAGCCTAATTGTAGTTAATCGGAGCGTTTGCCCTTGGCTGCGCCTGCGTAGTCGGAACTCAACAGCGCAAAAGGTCCAGGTCCGGGCCCCCGCCTCCTCCGCCCCCCAGCACCCCCTGCCCATTGGGGGGGGGGTCCCACTGCGCACGCGCAGTGCTTAACGGCCGGTCAGGAGCCCAACAATTAGTCCCTTCTCATCCGAGAGAAAACTCCCATAGTTAGAGAAAGGGGTCATGAGCAATCTCTCTAATAACCACGTTTCCTTTTCACTAAGAGCACGGCTCTGACTCACCAAGTCGGGCGGACACCGCCGCTTTAAGGAGATGAGGTTCCAGCGGTCGCGCCAAGAAGCGTACGCAGCCTACGTGTTTAAGTTATGCTACCTTCGCCACAGAAACTAAGAAGGCTGTAATGGCCTGCCAAGTCCCCACGCGTAATTGTTCTCCACCACTTACCCACTCTGGTTCCGGAACACCGTTGTCGCCACCGTTCCGGTAATACCTCTCCAAACCTTTCGATGCTTCTACTTCTTCACGAACAAGACAAGATGGCGCCCGATTGGTTGCACCCGGAAGTGAATAATAATAACATCCGCTTGTCATCTGAAGCCATATTGCCCCCCATCCTGGTCTCTGAGCACGTGACTATTCCCCCATTAACTTGTCTCGATGCCATCTTTGTTTTGGGCAAAACCGCCGGGACTAAGTAGTCCCCATCACGCAAGTGTCTGAACATTCCTGTAGGACGCCTCTTAATTGAATCATGTTGAAACCCATTTTCATCTTTACAATGGTCAGAAGGCCAGGAGCTTAAGCGGTCAGTACAGAACGCCCTCAAATTATTTATTTATTTATTTATTTATTTATTTATTTATTTATTTATTTATTATTTATTTATTTTTTACTTCAGCAACGTGAGCCTCCTTCATAGGGGAAGTTAAGTTCCCCGCCAGGAGCATTTTCGCTTCGGAAAAGGGGGCTGAAGTCGCGGCGCTACTTTCAGACTACGGAGGGGCGTCAGGGTCAAACCTAACCGACTCGGGCGAGTTGCTACGTAAAGCTCACAGCGGCGCGTTTCTGGTCGGGACTTGTGGAGCGCTGGGGTCTCAGGGAGCGTTGCTGACGGGCTCCGCCTCGGGGAGACCGGACGGGAGCGACCGCCATAGACCTTCCCTGAACCCGCGGGGGGTTCTCTTTGTTAACCTCGGGACCTCGCGCCCCCTCCTGGCGACATTTACTCGGCTCTACGTCACCCGGTTAGTCCCGACATGTCGTTCTTTACCCGTGACCCTTGGCGGGGGGCGGGGGGGGTGGTCGGAATCCGTTTCTGTCCTTTTGCCTCTTTTCTCTCGCCTGCAAGATGGCCTCCCTGACTGCTGTGGTTGCACCGCGTTTTTGATTTTTTTTAATATGAACGACTTTTAAGGTCTCGAAAGGATCTGTTTCCGGGCCAGGAGCTACAAGTCATACAAGAAAACAAGATCATCACGGAGATACAGTGTATATTTCTCAACGAAATCTTGGAAAGTGCCTTCCTGGAGAGGAACGTGAAACTTTTGCGGAACTCGAGAGTAAACAGAGTTATTTCACTGGGGAAGTGTGGAGGGGGAAAAAAAAAGGCAACTTACAACAGAATAAAATGAAGTGCATCTAGATAGATACGGATGTGAGGATATAGATGCCACTTGCATGAAATTCCGTCTTCCTTAATAAAACCCTTGAAACCGAGATAGTCCTGGATGAGCATGAGAAGCAAGTCCTAGCTGAAAAGATGTGCCGGTCCTCAAACCCAAGTGGCCTTTGCAATAAAAATTTATCTTGGGAGAGACACTTAGAGATCACACACCTGGCAACACCATGATGGGAGTGCATGAATATTACTACAGGAAGCAAAAAAAAAGACTCATTCTTTTAGCCCTTTTCCCTAATTTTCACTTAGCACAAAAAAGACTACCCAAGTAGTCTAATAGATTTTTAAAACCAAAATCGTGGGGGGGGGGGGAGGACATATACCACATTTTATCAAGTGGTTTTCTCTGATTTTGCTCTGTGACTTTGTTTTCCAGATTTTTTTGCACAGGGCCTGATTTTCAAATTTGTTTCTCTGAGAAATTATTTTTTTGTTTTTATTATTTTAAAAAAAAGGGGGATTTTTTCATGAGACACAGAGAGAAAGAGAGAGGCAGAGACACAGGCAGAAGGAGAAGCAGGCTCCATGCAGGGAGCCTGATGTGGGACCCGATCCGGGGTCTCCAGGGTCACACCCTGGGCTGCAGGCAGTGCTGAACCGCTGAGCCACCCGGGCTGCCCAGAAATTCTTTTTTTAAAAGATTATTTGAGAGAGAGAGAGAGAGAGAGAGAGAGTGTGTGTGTGTGTGTGTGTGTGTGTACACGTGTGTACGAGTGGGGGAGGGGCTGAGGGCAAGAGAGAATCTCAAGCAGACTCCCCAGTGAGCACAGAGCTCTACTAAGGGCACCACCCCAGCAGGACCCCAAGATCATCTGAGCTAAAGTCAGACACTGAAGGCCCCCAGGGCCCCTCTGAGAAACATTCTAATCAGAAAAAGTGCTCTGTGAAACCTGATTCCCCTACTGAAACTATCACACCTTCCTACATCCTATAATCATGTTGTAATTGCCTGTTCCCTAGTTAAAGAAATTTTCTGGTACTGTTACCCCTACCCCCATCTCTGCTCTCCAACCAGTTAGCATACTGCTTATCATAGAAGTTTTTTTTAAAAAAAATTTATATTAGGAAGAGGGAGCACAAGCAGGGGGGACTGGCAGAGGAAGAGGGAGAAGCAGACTCCTGGGCAGGAATCATGGTGTGAGCAGATGGCAGATGATTAACAGACCCAGGTGCCCCCATATAAGAATTTTTCCATTTGTCAAAGGGCTGAATATTGAACAATCCCAATCATTTTGGAGACCCATTGTCAAATGGAGATAATTATTAAATACCTCATGGTTCGTTCCTGGTGCCAACTCAAGACACTTAAGCAATCACTCGTTAATAAATTGGGAAATGAATTTTATAGTCCCACTTTCCCTTGCCTCACCACTGTCATCTAGGATTGCTGGGTAATATTAGGATCTGAAGGAAACATCACACGCATATACGTATTGCAACACCAAACTTTCAGAATGTTTCTGTATTAAAATGTCTGTCTGAATAGCAATTGTGTACATTTTCTGCTGCAGTCTGGTCATTTCACACCTTGATCAGAAAGTGCTGAAGCAGCCACCACCTTGCCAGTCTTGGCAATATGCTGTTTATAACTAATAGGTTAGCCAACTTCGTAAATTAAATTTTCATGAACTTCCCGTTTGCATTGTCTGAACTAGAAAATTCAAAGGGAGGGTATGTTCAAGTTAGTACTTTGCATGATTGTGGAATCAAGTTAGCCTCAAAATTAAATGGAAAAAAATTAAGATGTGGAAAAGATGCAGAATTTGGAAGTATCCCTATCATTCAAGACATGAATCTTTAGTGCTAAATTCCACATAACATTCATCTTAACATTTAAGAATAAAAGTATTTAAAGCTGTGGTATATACATACATACAATGGAAAGTTATTTAGCCTTCAAGACAAATTCTGATACATACTACCCTGTGGATGAACTCTGAAAAGATTATGCTAAGTGAAACAAGACAGCCATGGGAGACTTTTTTTTTTTTTAAGACTATTTATTTAATAATGAGAGACACAGAGATTGAGAGGCAGACACATAGGCAGAGGGAGAATCAGGCTCCATGCAGGGAGCCTAATGCGGGACTCGATCCTGGGACCCCAGGATCATGCCCTGAGCAGAAGGCAGATGCTCAACTGCTGAGCCACCCAGGCCTCCCTGGGAGACTAACCCTTTTTTACTCATCCTACCCATCCCTCTTTGCAACTAGACACGGCCATGTGACTCTCTGGCCAATGGGTTGTGCGACATCCAAGATGAATTTAATTGCTGATGACTGTTTAATGCTGTTTTCCCTGCTAGAGTAGGGAGACCTGGTGTTAAAATGATAGAAGCACAATATAAAACCCTGGATTACAAAATCATCAACTGGAAAACGGTTGTACAGACTGCGCAGATTCACAGGGGGTACTTTGGATGAGGAAGAAATAACGGGACGTGTGGAGTTAACTTGTTACTGTAGCAAAAACTAGGCTGTCTTAATATATATTGGAATGCAAACATTTTGGCTATTTCTGCTTGAGTGCAACTTTATAAATGTATGAAAATGGCTTTGGGGAGTAGGGTCCATGAAACCTCTGAAATTACATACAAAAATCTGGGTTATATGTTTTTCTGAGACTATATAACTGACAAAATGTCCCTACCCAACCTCTACATTGTCATTAACAAAAGTGAAGAGAGGGCCTCCAAATTAAAACCCTCCTCCTTTCCCCAACTCATAGCTTTGATAAATACTTATTAAATTATTGTGCAAATGAAAGATGGTCTATAACTTTCATTCTAATCTCAAAGAGCTTCATGACCCAGAGAGTTTAAATCCAAACAGGTAGATGAAACATTTTCTAATAAATTATTCTGTCTAAATAATCAAAAACATTTTGAGAAACATCTGAAAGGATGAAGACTCACCCATGGTAGATACTGAAATTTGAGTGAAAATAACTATAATAAGATATTTTGTTCTGAAATAATTTCTAAAATGCGAAGGATATTTTGAATGTACAGCTAGATAAGGAAATAGTATTGATAAATATCAATAATGTGCATTGCAAAAACTCCAGGACCAATTGTGAAATAATTTAATGTTTATTATCCATTTTTATACAGTAACATCAAAATAATGCTCAATAAGTTACATAGTGATTTTCTAAAAACACTACAAAAAAGTAAAGATAAAATACTAGGAATGCTATATAACCAGCATTACTCAAAATTTAAAATATAGTCATTTATCTTTTAAACAGATTTGAATTGATGACTTCTACATGAACCAAAACATTTTAAATATCTAAAAATCATCTTTCTTAACGCATTAGATAATTTTATTGCACATAACGTATTTGGTTTAAGTTTATTTGATCAGGTAACATGCAGACAAATTATGAATATGATTTTAGGAAAAGTAGAATGTTATTTTTACTATAAAAATTGGATGAAAGTGATACATTTCACAGCTTAATCTTCAGGAAATTTTATTCAGCTATTGTGTAAAGTCACTGACTAAATGCACCGTACATGCAAACTAGGAGCTATTATATATAGTAAAATAGCTCTTGGAGCACTTAAAATAAGAAAACAGGAATCAACTCATGGAACTGACACCAACTACCAGTCTCCTTGCCACCCAAAAAGGTGGTTTTCACATCTGTTTTAAGAACATTAAATAACAGAATCTTAAATACAGACATATTTGGCTATGCCAAAAAATATTCACATAATTGACACAATCAAAATTTCATCATCTTAAGTAGGAACAACTAGAGGAAACTGGGACTAGACATACCCTGTAAAATAGTTTCTATATACAGTTAGTGAAACTTCTGATTGGCCAAGCACTACTGTAGTTGTTTCAAGAACCTGTAAACATTTCTCACTTATTTGTATGGTTTCCTGAGGTTATCTAGAAACTATTATAGAAGCTCCACAATTTTGTACCCCTGCAAATGTACTTTCAAAATGTTCAGAATAAAAGCAAAAATTTAAATGTAGGCCCATGTGTCACTTGACATAACTTCCCTATTACAAATCTTTAGGAAATTCTTAGATATCAAAATCAAATTTATTACATTACCAGCGGACCCTGAAAAATATTCATAAACTCTAGGCCATTAAAAAAAAATAGACTTCAGATTCTGCCTTTTTTTTTTTTACCATGAAATGAAAATAAAATTTCTTCTTTGCATTTTAATTCTGGAATAATGTCTAAAACATATATAGGCCTCTCCATATTAAAACATGTTAAAATAGTGTCAGCACAGTCCCTGATCCATAGTAGGTATTCAAAAAATACATATTTCATGAATAAATGTGAGGTTAAACATAAAAACTACGGCAGTACTTGAGTATGGAGGTAATGTTTTGAAGCTACAATGTATCACTCAATGAACAATCACTGTTAACGGGTACTCAGAATAAAGGTCAAAAGGTCTCCTCTTTGATACAGTACTGGTCCATTTCCTGGCATCCTATTAATGAAAAGAGACTTGACCTGATTCCTGCCCTCACCTATCTCACCATCTCTGACTTTAGCTGTGTAAGGAAGGATAAAGCCAAGAGGCAACAGAAAAGAATGTTCTTGTTTCTTTCCTATCCTGTTTTCTTCTTTTCCCTGTCTTTCCTTCTCTCCCCCCTCACTTTTTCTTTTGTCTATCCATCTATCAATGAAAACAGGTGACCACCCAATGAAAAATATATGCCTCAAAATGGTATCTTATTTTAGGAGAAAAATGAGGTGACTTAATATTTAGATTTGGGGGAAAGGAATGGTAATTGCCATTACCAATATGGCTAACTTGAATACAGAGATTTAACTACTATTTTTCCAAAAAGTTGACTGCTCTGGTACTGAAAACTTCAATGTTAGTGGATTACAACTAAACATAAAACACTTCTTTACCTCCAAAAAAAAAAAAAAAAAAACAACATAAAACACTTTAAACAGCTTAAGCTACTTTTTCCAGGACACAACCTGAGTTTGCAGATTTTAATTTATAAAGATATATTTCTCCATTATTTCAAGTTAAAAATCAAGAAAACACTCTTATTGAAATTTCAATACCTTAAAAATAGAATTTGTGCACTAATATTTTTAAGCTCTGAGTTTTGTATATTATTGCCATCTTGAACACTAATCACACTAATCTTCAACACTCATTCACATATCAAAAGACAGCACTAGCAAACCTGACAATGTTATACAACCTTAAATGTTAAGAAGGGTCAGAGATTTGGTTAAAATTTTCTACAGCCACTATTCTTATCCTTCCTTCCTAAGAGGAGAATGAACTGGAACTAGGCACTTATCCAGTAAGTAGCTGCCTGTATATGATGTGTTGGCACTAATGATTAGGATGTTTGAACCATGCAGTTATGTGTTTTGATTCAGTAATGTCAGACCCAAGTAGCCATATGTTTTAAAAAATTTTAAGCCTAATAGTAGTATTTTCATGTCAAGTTTTGACAGTTTAATAATTTGTATTTGGGGGGGTAAACTATCATATTTTTGCTATTATTTAATTACTTAAAATCTGAAATGCCAACTTTTATACCCCATTAAAATATAAGCTAGACCCACTTGAACTTATTGATGCTTGTAAATGACAAGGAAAAGTGATCTCAAACCTCAAAATCATTATTAATATTTACTGACCTACAGAACTAGAAAATGCCTATTTCCCTGTCAAGTATAATAAGAATATAATTCTCTGTCCTTTACAAATATAATTTGGTAATTTATATTTCAAAGGTATCCAGTGGTCTATTTATCAATTCTGCATGTTACAATTATCAATAATTATATTATGACCTTGGCTAATTACATGCAAATTATCTTCAACTGCATCATGAATAGGCTGCAAACAATATGTTGATATGTTTCAATATTTTTTCTAGTTCTCAAAACCTGAAAGCAATAAGCTCATCAATAAATTACTTGTAGACCCCTATGATTGAAGCTACAGTGGTATCATTTTATATGGCTGAATCACACAAAATATGATGAGGTCACTGTGCCTACTGTATATGTTATACCAGTGTTTCCCACACAGTGGTATACATACACCACTGGACAGCCCTGAGATGATTTTAAGTGGAGTGGTACATGGGTGAACAATTTTTCTTCAATAGTTACATATTTATGTTAATGTTTATTAAAAATAATGTGACTAGCACATAAAACGTAGATACTCAAAACAAAGCTATGTTTAAAAATGTAAGGCTAAAAAATAAGATTAAAAATAATGAGTAAACAATGGCATAGGAGATAATATACACACATATATAGGACATGAGAATGGTGGTATGTGACTCACATTTAGTAAACACTGTTTTAAGGAACAATTTGATTAGCCAGCATCATTTCTGAATGTTTGGAGTAATAAGCCACATTATAAGGAGGTTCCCTTTACTGCTCAAAATCTGGGGTGTTTGTCCAGGACAAATATTCCTTAAAAACATGTGTTCACATATATTTTAAGAATATACATTTGAAAGCATTGAGTAAATTTAATTTGCTTTAAAAGAACACCAAAATGGTAAAAATCTTCAGGGGCATCTACATGCTATTTCTACAGAAAAGACTACAAAGGCACATTATGCATTATGGTTATCGTTGCAGCATTTAAACAAAAGTGACCTAAATAATCATTGCCACTAATTATTAACAGATAATTATAATATCCTTTCATAAAAAAGAAGGTATGCTTGTGCACTAAGTGCTCTTGATTCTGGAACCACCTGCACGTAAGTGTCACTAACATGGACCCACTGGCCTGCTGATTCACCATCAGGTTCTTTCAAACCTAACAAGACAAAAAGAAGGATAATTTTACAATAAATATATTCTTTTTCCACATTATAAACAACAATATATTCATCACAAGCTATATTTATCTAATGCTAGATCTTATTGTGTTTCTTCTTGTGTTAAAAATCTTCCAAAATCAACTCTTTCAAAGCATTAATATTATTTCATTTTATTTTTTTTAAAGATTTTATTTATTCATGACACACACAGAGGCAGAAACATAGGCAGAGGGAGAAGCAGTCTCCCCATAGGGAGCCCAATGTGGGACTCGATCCCCAGACCCCAGGATCACATCCTGAGCCGAAGGCAGATGCTCAACCACTAAGCCATCCAGGCATCCCAGTATCATTTCACTCTAAAAACCTAGTGAAACATTAGATATACTTGTAAATACTTATTTGCTCAAGGAAAATAATCATTTTCACTGAACTAGAAAAAGGAAAACAAAGTCAGCTTGCTGATCCATAAGCAAAGATTGTAAATTTTCGACCCCAACTCTATTCTGAGGATCTGCTAGGTCTTCAAAATCTTTTGTTGTTAAATAAAATGCTACTACTCCACTGCAATACTCAATGACTTAACACCCTGAAAAACAGAGTGTCACTTCACATCATCTAGAAGGGTACAGTCTTATGATATTTAAGGTTCTCTACGATTATTTAAGTACTCCTAAAAGTGTTTTTCACTTAACTTTAACAAAGTGAATCCACTTGCAGTATCCATGAAACAGCTTACCTCTTCCAGAAAAGGAAGGATACATTCATTTGTCTTTTTAAGAAGAACATAAACTTAGGATGCCATACCAGGTAAATTTTTCTCGCCAATGATATGTTCCAATAATTTCCTGGAGGGTGTTCTCACTTTCACATAAGCCGTGTAGTGACCTCCTCTCATTGAGCCACTATGTTCCACTACGCCGTAGAGACCATAGAGAACTTTATCTCCCACACTTACATTCTTTTAGACAAAGAAAAAAATGAAATTAGTAATATATAGTGAAATAAAAAGGGAAATTAAGTCAAATCTATGTCCTGCTTAAACTAAGAAAAACGCATTGTTAAAACTATCGTGAGATGTGTTTGCACATGTATTAGATGGGCAAAATGCAAAAGCCTGACAGCATTTTCTGTTGGCTGGGCTATAGGGAAAAAAGTACTCACACACATTGCATGTGGGAACGTACAGCCCCTATGCAGAGGTATTTCATGTTATCTAGCTAAATTACACAGGTATTACTCTTGGATTTGTCAATCCTATTTGTAGGATTCTATCTTACAGGCATATGAGCAAACTGTAAAAAGACATACTATTTATTATTTTGGCTACTAAATGCAGAAATATTTGTAATATTAAAAACTGGCAACATGGGAACATAATGGATAGTACAGGGAATACAGTTAATAATACTGTAACAACTTTGCATGGTGACAGATGGTAGCTAGCTTTATTGTGATCACTTTGTAAGGTATATAAATGTTAGATCATATATTGTATACCTGAGAAGAATATATTGTATGTCAACTACACTTTAATTAAAAATAAACTGGAATAAACCCAGATAAATTGGTCATTAAATTGGGGACTGGTTGAATAAATTATGATGCACTGAGTTATGTAATTGAAAAAGAGAGTGCCAGACTATCTCAAAATACTGTTATGAAATAATCTCCATGCTATAATGTTAAGAGTAAGGTAGAAAAAAGGATATATATTGTAAGCTGGGATTATTTAAGAGTGAAGATGCACGTGTATATATATATATATATATATATATATATATATACACACACACACACACACACAAATATATGTGCTTATATTTTTAAAAATTACAGAGGAATAAAACAATTTTTAGACAGTTATATATAAAGAGAAGGAAGAAACAGGTGGAATGGACATGGAGAAAAGCTATCCTTATTTGAATTTACCTTGTTTTATACATTTGATTTTGGAACTATGTAAATATTTTATGTATTTTGTAAAATTTGAAAAATTTAAGTTTAAATTTAAAAAGCAATCCCTAAAATGAAAATTTAAAAATTAAAACAGGTGACTAATATATTCTAGTTGGTAGCATAATTGTTCAGAGAGAAACCACTATGGTCACATCAAAAGAACCCAGAAGCCAGCTGGAAGTGGCTTTCAGTAGCCAAACATGGATCCACATTACACTAATATATTAGACCATAAATAAAAAGTACAGTAAGTTGAAACATATTTAATGTATTCCAATCCATGAATTAGTAATGCTAAATTAATTGATCATAGTTTAAGGATGCTAATGAATTAATTCATTATTCTGAAACTGGTTTAAAGGGGGGCAGGGAAAGAATCGAATATTTATCTAGCCTTTTCTATAAAAACTATAAGATAACTGAATAGATTAAAGGAATTTCTCTTTATAGAAATGCTCCAGCTAATAAATGAAGGAGTAACAATTAAAATATCACCATTCTGTAATTCTTAATGAACTCGTGGATCTAGCATTTGAACAGCACTGGTTGCTGGTATCATAGAAAGATAAGTGGCATAAGTACTACCTGATAAAAAAAACAGAACACGCCCTATAAATAGCCTTAGCAAAAGGGAAAAAGAGCATCAAACCTAAATCTGTTCAAGCGTCTTAAGAGCCAACTATCTAGTTGTAGGAAATAAAGAGGACAGGGGAGGAATCATCAAAATCTAAACCATGGAAACTACCAGAAAGAGGACTCCATTTCTTAAAAAAATAACTTGCAAGAGAGAGAAGGGGAGAGCGATGGGAGAGGGGAACTATACATTAAAAAAGACTAAAATACAACATTATCCAATCATGTGTAACCCTTACTTGGATACTAATTCATTTTTAAAATTTCATAAGACAACTAGAAATATATACATCAGATGATATGAAGGAATTAGTGTTAACTTTTTTTTTTTAGTGTGAAAGTGGTATTGTGGTTATGTTCTTACAAAGGAGGAGGGAGTGATTTTTATCTTTTATAGATACATAGTAAAATATTTATGAATGAAACAATGCCTGATATGGGAAAATAGTAAGGAAAATAATATGGGAAAGTAGTAGGTGTATGGATACAGTAGGACTGGCCATGTGTCTAAGGTTTTAGAGCTAGGTGATGGATGCTATATAGGTTCACTGCACTGTTCTGTCTACTTTTGTGTATGTTGGTAATTCTCCATAAATAGTACCTTTTAAAAATGTGTTTTTATAAATTTAAAAACTTGTTAAATTTCAATTTAATTTCAGCTTGTTAAATTTCATTTTGTTTACCACATTATCACGTTCTATGAATACTGAGTGTTAATTGATAGATGGTGCTGGTACTCTACAGCAGGTAAATTGGATTCACCAAATAATTGCTTTTAAGATATGTCTGTTTTGACGAATCAATGTATTGAAAATATGAAGGTCAGTAAGCATTCCATTACATACCACAACCTAGACTGCTAACCAGTAATCATGAACAGAACAATATGTGACCCCATTCATAACATTTGGTTCCCTCAAGGAAGGCAAAGTCATTGCTCTCACCTACACAGTTCTTCCATGTAAATACACCAATTATAAACCAGCCTGCTTTCTATACCTAATTATCAAAGTATTATAAATTTTATTTTTTTAAAAGACTATTTATTCATTCATGAGAGACAGAGAGAGAGAGAGAGAAGAGAGAGAGAGAGGCACAGACAGAGGCAGAGGGAGAAGCAGGCTCCATGCAGGGAGCCTGATGTGGGACTTGATCCCGAGTCTCCAGGATCACGCCCTGAGCGAAGGCAAACGTTCAACCACTGAGCCACCCAGGCATTCCATAAAGTATTAACCAATTTTAAAGTATCATACTCAGAGCAGCCCGGTTGGCTCAGCGGTTTAGCGCCACCTTCAGTCAAGGGCGTGATCCTGGAGACCCGGGATGGAGTCCAATGTTGGGCTCCCTGCATGGAGCCTGGTTCTCCCTCTGCCTGTGTCTCTGCCTCTCTCTCTCTCTTTGTGTCTCTATGAATAAATAAATAAAATCTTTTTTTTTAAAAAAAAGTATCATACTCAGCTCACAAGTACGCTATTTTCAGCAGTATACATGAAATGTAATGAAAAACAATGCATGAGTATATTGACTCACAAAAGAGAATGAACTCCACAAATGCTAAAACTTGTCCATTAAGCCACATCATTCACAAGGAACAGAGAGGGCACAAAATCTGCTTACTTCCCTCAGCAACCCTCTGCTACCAGTAGCACTGACAAGCAGCATTATCTTCCTGACCACCGTGCCTCATGGTTTACACATCTGTTCAACTTTCCCTCATTCTGTCTCTCAAAGGACAAAAGTCCTATTCACTGTGTTAAGTTCCATGTTACAGATTTAACTTCACTAACTATAAAATTCCCTTTCAGGGACGCCTGGGTGGCTCAGCGGTTTAGAGCCTGCCTTCAGCTCAGGGCGTAATCCTGGGGTCCCAGGATTGAGTCCCACATTGGGCTCCTGTATGGAGCCTGCTTCTCCCTCTGCCTGTGTCTCTGCCTCTCTGTGTCTCTCATGAATAAATAAATAAATTATTTTTTAAAAAAATTCCCTTTCAGAGAAGCTTAATGGAAGGAAGGAAGGAAGGAAGGAAGGAAGGAAGGAAGGAAGGAAGGAAGGAAGGGAAGGAAGGAAAATAAAAGGAAAAAAAGGAAGGAAAGGCCTAATACTTTTTAAGCATATTATTTACAAGTCAATTAAACATCTTAATAACGTACTAACCTTACAAGTAGCAGAACAGAACGGTGCTAAATCAAGGATAAGTGGAAAATCTACATGTCTGTTTACTTTTCGAAGACTCAAGCCAGCCTTAAAAAGACCAAAAAACAATTTTTAATGCAACAAACTATTCATCTAAATCATTGTTTGTTAATAAATCCAAAAGAGGAATCTCAGTAGTTTTTAAAATAGCTATAAAAAATGACTAATGAATAATCCAAAACTGATATATAAGTTCGAGACTATTCATTAGTCTGTGAATGAATTATTTCTGTAAGTTTCTAAATTGAGATGCAAGTGCCAAATATAAAATAACTGTGGCACATCATGAAATTAGCTTCTCAGATGTGACACAACCCTGTCTTGTTCACACAACATGTACACCCTTCACTAGGCATTCTTAGGTAATGAGACACGATATATCTGCTTCTGCCCTTCACGGCCATTTCACTTTCACTGAGTTTCCACATTCTTGGCTAGAGAAAAATCAAGAATTTAGTTTAATTTTTCTGTGGATATGGATGGAGGTATGTAGAGAAAAATCTCTTCCCTCCTGTGGCCCACCTGAAATGTTGCAGATATATAATCAAAGCTCCTAATCTTTTCCCTTGAGAGTTCATGGGTTTTATATGTAGGCAACCTTCCTCCCAGAGGTCAGGTTAATATTAATATTCATTTAAGTTTTCTTCTAGTCTTTTGATGATTTGTTTTATATGATTAAAATATTTATCTGGAAATACTATTGATACATGGTATAGAGAGAAGCTTTACATTTTTTATTTCAGTTCTTTTTCCTAAATTCTTTAATGAGTGATCTACCCCTTGGGGCACCTGGCTGGCTCAGTTAGAAGAGCAAGGGACTCTTGATCTTGGGGTCGATCCTGGAGTTGTGAGTTTGAGCCCCACATTGGGTGTGGAGATTACTTAAACTAAAAACCAATTAATCTACCCCTTCCCAACTGATTTGAGATTCTTCCTTTATCATAACAAAAGAGCTTTAAATAATACGCATGTTTTATTTATTGACAATCTTGACCATACTGTTTTAACTACTATGATTTTATTTTTAAACTGGTGTCAAAGAAAACCACCCATTCTAACTTTTTCCAAAATGTTTTAGTATTTTACTTCTTTATTCTTTCAGAGAAACTATAAAATCATTACATCAAATTTGAAAAAAAAAAAAAAGACAAGGCATTGGATTAACACAAAAAAGAGGGAAAACCTGACACATGAAAAACATTTAGGTTCCCTTCTCACCATAGAGACCCTACATTTGCATTGTGCAGCCCTTTTTGTATTCGTCCAAGCCAGCCATGCCCAGCCCACTTAGCCCTACCCACTGGGATCATGAGACCTCAGAAACCTATGTGCACTTTGCTATTTCCCTGCTTCTAAGGATTCTTAATACATTTCATTTTTAATTCTCCCATACACACACACACACACACACACACACACACAACTTAGGTTCCTACCACCTAAATCATCAAATACAATATTATGAATTAAGCGATATTAATTAGAAAAGTAAACTATTATGGCTGAAAAAGCAGTAAATCCCATATGACAATTTTTTACATTAAAAAAATTACTATCTAATCCTTGATGGCATTTTAAAGATGTAGGGCTCTGCAAAACATATGATTACATTACTATAGTGCTACTAAGGGACTTTTTACCTGATGGAATCTTTTAAGATGGAGAATTAGGATAGCTGGAACAGCAGAAATGAGCAATTGCTTCCTGGCATTAGTATAAACGGATTCGGCTTTCTTTTCTGAATAAAATATAATAATTTATTTTAAAATTTCATTTTATACATTATATACCACATAATATAGTTACCATTTATAAAGAAACATCATACCATAGTATTGAATAAATTTTAACATTGAAAATGTTAAAAAAGAAATTAGACTCTGGTTACAGGGGTGCCTCTATACTCCATTCCAAAACTCCACTGAAATGGAAGAGGTTTTTTTTGTTGTTGTTTTTGTTTTAAAGAACACACAAGGACAAAGGATAGGGGAGGTGACACTTGCAACAAAATTTTGGGAGCTGGGAAGCAGATGGACTATCGTGACTTATGTCAATGCCCTCTAGCTAGAGACCACCAAAAACACCCCTGGAGTTGAAAAAATTGGGTCATTACTCATCGTAGTGAAAGGAGATCACGTATCATGCATGGGAACTGCAGGGCATTTCAGTAAGAGGCTGTTAGAAAGTACGTGGGATGGGATTTGAATATGGTCAACAGCATATTTAATTTGGATCAATGTAAGATGGTATTTCTTCCTTCTCTCATCTAGATAGTTCTTTAACTACTAGTGTATTAAGCATAATGTATTAAACACGTCTTTATTCTGATACTTTGACACCAGAGGCCTTGCTAATATTATAGGGAAGGCTTCTGGCAGAACTAGCAAACTCCTAGATATAATAAACGATATAAATGTACCTTTCATATGCAAACCAACCAATCCAAAGTCCATACTCAATGCCCTCCATTATTGGGTTCTGATACTCTAGACCACCATCCACCTGCCCAAATCCCAATAGGGCCTGGAACACACAACTGAGACCACCCACAATGCCCCAGAGCCTACTGAATTTATTCAACACCAGTCAATCGATCCTAAAACTTGATTCCAATTCCTTCCCCTGAAACCACAACAAAGGCTCTTGTCCATGTCTCCTCACTCTTCTGCCTCTGACCAATCTTGGTGCTTCCCCATGTGGCCCTGCATGGCATGGCTTGGGGTGCTCCCTCCTCTTCTGAGCTGTAGGTAACAAACTATCTTTTCGGGAGCAACTGTCTCCTGGTCTGTTGGCCTCACCATAACTGAATAATCATAAAGCCCGCCTTTTGAAACAGCCAGTCACTAAGAACCGGAGCATTCTCTCCATATCAAGGCTGGAGATGCAGTAGGGAAATTTCTTCTGGAAAAAAGATTTCAGATAGCTAGTCCCCCTGAAATACGATTCTGTGGATTTGCAGTTTTCAAGGCCGAGGTGGGGACTTCCTGTTCAATTTACTTCACCAAACATCTATTTAAGAAGTCCAGGTATGGGATCCCTGGGTGGCGCAGCGGTTTGGTGCCTGCCTTTGGCCCAGGGTGCGATCCTGGAGACCCAGGATCGAATCCCACATCGGGCTCCCGGTGCATGGAGCCTGCTTCTCCCTCTGCCTATGTCTCTGCCTCTCTCTCTGTGTGTGTGTGTAACTATCATAAAATAAATGGAAAAAAAAAAAAAAAAAAAAGAAGTCCAGGTACTGTCTTCAAGGCTGAGGTGCAACTATGAAAAAGATAATCCCTGCCTCCCAACAGCTAAAGGGTGGAGACAAGGTTCTTGGGTTTCCCTCTTTGGGATCTACAACCCACTGGTCACTGACTATATCGGACACCCCACAAATACTCAAAACCTAAATACTGAGCAGCCTGGGTGGGTTAGCGGTTTAGCGCCACCTTTGGCCTAGGGCGTGATCCTGGAGTCCCAGGATCAAGTCCCATGTCAGGCTCCCTGCGTGGGGCCTGCTTCTCCCTCTGCCTCTCTCTCTCTGTGTCTCTCATGGATAAATAAATAAAAATCTTAAAACAAAGCAAAACAAAAACAACTAAGTATTCTCACCGGCACAACTGGTTGCCTTGTGGCGCCTCTGTTTCTTTGCAGTGCAGTTCTCACACAGAAGCTTGTTATTCCCCATCAGCAGTTCCATAGAGGTAAACTGGTAGAGGCAGGACTGAACGGAGCATTCTCTGGAGGTGGTCACGTAGCTGTGAGAAAGGGTCTGGAAAGCATCCTGGGGGCCGGGGGCCAACAGGTGCGTCTCCTCCGAACACGAAAGGTCTGGAGCATCCGGGGGCTGGTCTTCTCTCTGGGAAGCTCTGTGTCCGGTGACAGTGCAGCTCAAGTGAAGTCCGGAGAGGGCCTGGGCCGCGCGCGCAGCCGCCTGGCTAGTCCGGGGCGCGGCGGGGCGCCCTCCCGCGCCGGCGCTCGTGCGGGGTCCGCGGCCCGGCAGCAGCCCGGCGCGCTCGGGGCTCGAGCTCGGGTCCGAGGCCTCGCTGTCCGCGTCCGCGCTGCTCTCCGAGGCGCCGGCCTCTCCGCCGCTGGCCTCGGGGCTCTCGGCGCCCTCGGGCTTCCCGCCGGTGACAGCGGCTCCGGGCCTGCCCCCGGCCAGTTGACTCTGCAAGGTGACAGTGTTTTCAGAGAAAAGGATCTTGGGGCCTTACTGGAAATGAATGCCAGGAAGGCTCATTTACACGTCCCACAACTGTTTTTTCCAGTGCCTCCGAAATCCTAAACTACGATCCTTAAGACACAGAGTGACAAATAGTTCTAATTTAAAATTAATCTTTAGGGACGCTTGGGTGGCTCAGAGGTTGAGCATCTATCTGCCTTTGGCCCGGGGCGTGATCCTGGAGACCCGGGATCGAGTCCCACGTCCCGCTCCCTGCATGGAGCCTGCTTCTCCCTCTGCCTGTGTCTCTGCCTCTCTCTCTCTCTCTGTCTATCATGAATAAATAAATAAAATCTTAAAAAAAAAAGAAAAGAAAACTGAGCACGCTAACAGAAAAAGCTAAAAAGAAAAAGCTAAATCTGATAATGTATCAAGTTGCCTACAAATCACATTAAAAAAGTTTTTAAAAAGCGAAGCACAAATTTAGATTGGTTTCTTTAAGTTTTTATGAGATAATTGAACAACCAGTTGTGTCCTTAGTGAAACAATGGGTCTAGACAATGGTCATCAGTGACTGGTGACATCAAAGATTGGACATCAAACGTTATGTGCATCTATCTCCTTGATGGCAGTATACACAGCCAGTTAAAAGTTTTCTTGCCATAAGGCGCTGATTCTTTTTTTGTTTTTATAATTTTTTAAAGGTTTTATTTATTTATTCATGAGAGACATGGAGAGAGAGGCAGAGACATAGGCAGAGGGAGAAGCAGGCTCCACCCAGGGAGCTGGATATGGGACTTGATCCCAGAATTCTGGGATCACACCCTGAGCCAAAGGCAGACGCTCAACCACTGAGCCACTCAACTATCCCTAAGAATTTTTTTTTTAAGATTTTATTTGTTTATTCATGAGAGACAGAGAGAGAGAGGAGAGACAGAGGCAGAGAAAGAAGCAGGCTCCATGCAGGGAGCCCAATGTGGGACTCATCCCGGGTCTCCAGGACCACACCCTCAGCCGAAGGCAGGCACTAAACCCCTGAGCCATTCAGGGATCCCCAGGGTGCTGATTCTTGATTGTAGCTCAGGTCATGATCTCAGGGTTAGAGATGGATGGAGCCCTATTGTCAGGCTTCACACTGGGCATCCAGCTTGCTTAAGATTCTCTTCTTTTCCCTCTGTCCCAACCCCCACCCTAAAAAAAATATAAAGTTTTAAATAAATGTTTTCTTTCCAAAAGTCAAATAAATAATAGAACTTGAACCTAATTAAAATTGCTTTTAGACAGAACTGCCTTAGAGAGGAATAAAGGAAACAAAGAAACCTGTAAATACCATGGAAATGCAATAGCAAAATAAACTACTGTTGAATGTGGGAAAGTGAAAAATTACTGAAAAAAAAAATGACCTGATTTCTTCAACAAATACATTACAAGGCAGGGGAGAAAGGGAAGGGGAAATCTGTAGATTGAAAGAGATCTAAGAAACATGCTATTAAGAGATGGCAATCAACTGCCATCTATGGATCTTTTTTAGATCCTAAATTCAAGTACACCTTAAAAAGCAAAAACAAAAAAGGTGTTTATGAGACAACTATAGAAATTTAATTACTGGATGTTGGCACTATTAAAAAGTCATTAATATTTTTAGGTATGATATGTTCTATGGTTATATCTTTAAAAATAGTATTTATCTTTTATATTAGAATCATTTCAAAATAATCGGAGATGGAGAGAAGGAGAATGTGGGATAGATATAGACAAAATATGATTAGTCATGATCTGATAACTGTGAATCTGAGAAAAAGGTACATGAGAGGTTATTATATACTGTCTTCTCTATTTTTGTATATTTTTGAAACTTCTCTTATTAAAAAGTTTAAGAAAACAGATGTCTCACAAATGCATATAAATCTTACCTTATCTTTAGATGAAGACTGTGTGGCTCTGGGTTGATGAGTAGTTTCTATGGTAACAGTGTCACCGCACTGACCATCATCTGTCACTTGCAAACTTCTACATTTACTCATTCTTCCCAAAAGTACAGGTTTTGAAACCTATGTAGATGCCATGCATATAACACAAAACTTCTTTAGGAAATAAATTCTGGATATCATCTACTTTTTAAAATTTCTAACTCATTTTCCTTAACATTAATTCTCAAGCTATAAAACATAATGGTTTGAAATCCCTGAGAGTAAGAACCATATCATAACTCATGCACATATACACAAACCCCAGTATCAAATATACTATATGAACACCAGTATTATATACAAAAATGACTCTCAGATAATGCGGTAATATGCTCAACAAATGTCTAAATATATGAATGAATAAATGCTCTTCACAAAAGACTCATTATTAAGTTTTTTTTCCTTACCCTTTCTTCTATTATAGGAAGTGAAATATCAATAAAAGGATCATTCACTGAAGAGATCTTAAAAAGAAAACATATTGAGAAAATCAGTTAGAATTCTAATATATACAAAGTAGTCCTGTAAAATCTTAAAGAAATCAAACTTCCCAGGCAACTTAGAATTTCAAGTTAAAAAACATCCCTGGAACAAATAGCGATTTTAACCTGGTACAGCAGCACATATTGTTAATCAAAACAAGATATCTCAAAACCCCAACATATGCAACCCAGTTGAATTTCATAATATTGCCAATATGACTAACTTATAATGTTTAAAGTAACTTAAAAATAAACTATGTTTAATAAAAATGATTAACTAAAAATATAAACCTATTTTTGGTGAAATTGTGTCAGAACATAAATCAAATAGAAACATTAAAAACAATTTTTTTTAAAAGCCGTGAAGAAAAAAGCCAGAGAGCTTGACTGTGTTTTGTAGATTCTTTCAGGTTAATTCTGTTTAAAAAGATTCTCTCTAGCTTGTGAGAGAGAAATCAACTTCTATGTTGAATATACTAGAAACTTAAGTAATATCATGTTGACAAGTGCTGTGCTTTAACATGACAAGCTAGAAGAAAATGTAACATATGATCCTCATTTTATAAGACTAGAGAGAAAAGAAAGGTACTCTATAATCTGGGACAGGAAAATGCACATAAAGACTATTCATTTTATGATCAAAATCTAACAAAAGTTGATGCCTATCATACTCTAAGCCATATACTTTCAGAAATATTCTTTACCAAGTAATTGAAAACCTATAAAAATGTTTATATATTTTAAGTTGTTAAAGTACAGATGTCATTCAAAATAAAAATGATCATTTAATTCAAAGGTGTGTGTACTTTCAAAAAACTTCTAGTTTTACATAACTTACATCAAGTTATGTAAGTATAAACTTTAAATAAAATGTGGTAGATCATCCTAAGTTATGTTACCACATTAAGTTATTTCTATCAGAATCACATTTTAGGGCAATGCATAGTTATATAACATAGTTACTCCCTTCCCAGAAGTTTCTCTTGCATTTCAATCCAAACAAGTAGCTAACACATTCCTCCAGCAGAACTTCAGAGGTTTGTTAAGAGGAAAAATAACATTTAAAAAAGTTATAAATTATGTTTCTTCTCTGAGAGTAAAGATATACTCTAACGACTTTCAAAAACTATTATGTAGTTATCTGTCACAAATTAAAACAAATGCTGATGATTATATGTGAAAGAAAACAATAAAAATGATATGACTGTAATCTATTCCGTGTTGAAGTGAATTCCAAAGCACCTACATTTGCACATTCTTCACACATGACTGTGCTAGTTAATTCACCAATAAAGATCCGATCTATGAAGTTCATTTTCACACCTTCTCTTCCATACGCTGTAAAAATAATACTTTTTAATGCAAAAAATACGTCAGCCATCAGCCTAACAATGTAACATGCTTTTTCTCTGTTGACTCAAAAGAAACCTGAGACAGATGTCCAGTACCACATTAATATATTTTATTATATGATGTTATAATGTCTTTCTCCTTAAAAATTCTGTAGGGAAAATTTGATTATTAACTATAGTAGTCTTCAAGAAATAATGAACTGTTCTTAAACTTGAGGCAAAATAAGTAGACCAATTACCACTGTTCATACCGTACCTCAACTGTTCCTATTAAACGCTTTAAGGTCTCTGTGCCTAATGTGGAGGTAGGCAGAGGAATGAGAAAGAAGATAATACTTTTAGGGCTACAGATGCCTGAACCATAACTATGGAAACAGTAGAGTAGTAGAAGACAAGTAAACACAGCATAGTGTAAAGAATTAATTTGGGCAATTAATAACTCATTTGTGTGTAAGTTTGGTATAAAAATGGTAAAATTATTGTTTGGGAAATATTTATAAATCAAAGAAAATTATGCCCAAATAGAACATTAATACACCATGAATTCAATATAGTTTGAAAGGGCTGAAGAGTACACGAGGCTTCATCATACTATTCTATTTTAATAGACATTTAAAACTTTTTTTTCTGCAGCAAATCATGACAAGAAAATATATTAACAAACATCACTCCTCTTTCAAGCTTCTATCTTTTTTGGATCTCTAACTTCAAAGTTCATACAAACAACATTTAAAATCAGCTTAAAACATTATTTGAAGCACTTAATGACACAGTCGGCTTATAGCTAGATATATCAATAAACATTTTTAATATAACAATAACTATTTAGAAGTTAAGGTGACTAATATGTTTCATTAAGAAAACTGTACAAGGTTTGAAAATAGAAAAGATTATACAAAAGTGGAAACCAGAAAGAAAAACTGGGCAGTTATTCTAAACATGCACTAGATGGCACTATCTCAAAACAAACAGGCAAAAAAACCCCAAAGCATACTTGAGAATCCACATTTTAAAAAATCTCGAACCCTTCACATGAAACTAATATAGCATTGTGTGTCAACTATACTTTAAAAAAAAAAGTCTTGAACCCTTAACTATACTTTTTTTTAAAAAAAAAGTCTTAAACCCTTAACTGCATACTGTTTGGGCATGTACAATTACAACATGTATATTTGTTTATGAATTATAGACATGTACTATGTATATATAATACTACAAAAAACAAGTTAGAAAAGAAAATAAATAAAATGCAAATAATATTTCTAAAAATCATCTTCTAAAAATGATGCCTTTGTACTACCGCTAATTAATATCTGAAGACAGAATATACAGTTAGGACAAGGTAAAGCACTCATACTATGACATAGAAGCCCACACTTAAATATTGATCATTATAAATGATCAGCTTTGATTAGATAATCACTGGCTTTGCCTCATACTTTGGCTGATGAAGAGCTGACATTAGGAGTAAAGTAGATATGTATGCTTGATTTAGTACTTTCTCCAATAAATGGTTGCCTTGTAGGAATCTTTGGACTTAAGCATTTTGACTAGTCAAAACTATATAATATCCATAAATCCACTTATCCAAGCACATGTCAACTGCAAAATGATACAATATGATGAAACTGAACTTCCAAGTGAGGGTACTACTTTCAACCCCACATTAGTGTATCAGTGTCAATCTGTATATCTGATACTTGTTTCGGTTTTTAAAGTACACATGGACCCATTCTCACATTTTCTATGACTCACTAGACTATCTTATAGGCCCTGAAGTATGTACATTCCTCATTTAAGGCCACTATTTTACAGAATTGGTTCACATAATGCTCAGTTCTTTTCCCCTTGAAAAGCAACAAAATTTTCTTCTGGGAGAAAAGGTTTAACAGTGAAAGAAGCGACATACCTTTGACTTTTTTTCTAGTATCTTCATCAGCAGTTTTAGTAGTTGGGTTGTTAAATGCTTTTAGAATGCTAGCTTGTATTCTCTATAAAACAAATAAGAATTTAGTAAGAATCTATAGTTGAATGTATTCTTACAGGTTTAAAGTAAGTTCTCCCTCTTTTCCCTCCCCTCCCTCACTCCGCCACTGTCCCTAAAATGACGTATCATTTTAATCAGGACAAAAAGTAACAAAGACACCATGTGGAATTTCTTATCTATTGAAGAAAATCTTAACATATAAAAACCTATTAAACTGGTCACTATGACCTTCGTGTAGATTATTTTATTTATACACATACATCAGTAAAGTCCAGAACATCAAATAATTTCCGCAGCAAGAAGAATACCCCAAATCTTGATTAGTTATCATTTTATTTGAATTCAGTGTCAATAATAATTATTAGTATTAAAGTCTTTAGCAGCTCTTGGGAAATGACAAGATTTATGTTTCCATAGCTCTTGTGTATGTTTCAGGAGAGATCTAATATCCCAGAAAACTTTCAGAATGAAATAATATCAGATTCCAAGAATAAAGACATTTGAGCTAATAAATCATCACCTTTTATACTAATAATGTCCCTACTTAGTGGATTAATTTAATCCTAATTCACATTTTGGCAGTGCAGTGACAAGAAAGCTTGTGAATTATCCTCCAAAAGTTTTTAAGTAAAGTCTTAATCACAGATTTTCGTATTTGAGACCGCTGTTTGACCTGGAGTCTCTGGTGTGAAAATGATACCTAATTCTGTTATTAAAGAAAAAAAATCATATCAAAGAGATAGGAAACTCAAACAGCAGACTTACCAGAGAATAATAAAGATTCTACATATCAGAATCCAGATACTTTCCACTGTTCAGAAGAAAATTCACAGCCTTAAATATTTAAATCAATTAAAAAGAATGAAAACAAATGAGTTAAGGAGCCAAGTCATAAATTTAGAAAAAGGAGATCAAAGTTGAATGAAAGTAAATAACAAAATTCAACAAAAGAGTTAATGAAGATAAAAGCATACAAATTGAAGAGATTAATCAATGAATCAAAAGCTGATTCTTTGGGTGGGGGACAGATAAACCTACTAGCCAATCTTAATCAAAGTAAGGATGAAAAGCATTAACATTGTACCTAAGAAGAAGGAAACCACTAACAAAGTCAAAGACATTTTAAGTAATCATGAAAGAGACTACTTTGCTCCACTTTCATGTAATTACATTTGAAAATTCAGAAAAAGTTAGATAATTTTCCAGGAAATGAGGCCCAGAAGAGATAGAGTATCTTCCAGCTTTCATGGGATCAGGGAACGGGCAGAGAGAGAAGAATGGTGTTACACAGTACTCCTTACAAAAAGCTCCAAGCCCTAACAATTTCACAGAAAAATGCCACTAAACGTATGTTCCAGAGCATAAAAAGGGGAAACTTTCAAATTATGTTCATGAAGCATAATATCGGTACCAAAGCTGACCAGAGAATATATACAACACACACCATATCACGTATGAAAAAAATTCAAAATACAGAAGCACATTAAAAGAACAGTATTTATAGTATGATGAAGACTTTTGTTCTAAAAAGTCAATCTGAGAAAGACAATTTTCATATGATCTCACTCTTATGTGGAATTTAAGAAACAAAACAGAGGATCATAGGGAAAGAGAGGAAAAAATAAAACAAGATGAAATCAGAGAAGGAGAAAAACCATAAGAGACTCTTAATCACAGGAAACAAACTGAGGGGCCCTGGAGGGGAGGGAGTGGTGAGGATGGGGTAACTGGGTGTTGGACATTAAGGAGGGTATATGATATAATGAGCACTGGGTATTATATAAGACTGATGAATCACTGACCTCTGCCTCTGAAACCAATAATATATTATATGTTAATTAACTGAATTTAAATAAAAAATTTTTTAAAGATTTTTGTTCTACTAATGCAGGGATATTAGGAAATCTATTCATACAAGGCATCATATTAACAGATATAAGGAGAAAAACATTGTAAGATTAAATCCCTTGATTTATTACTATCATTTAGCACTGTATTAATGTTCTAGTCAATACATTTGATAGAAAATTAAATCTCAGAGGTATAAAAATTATAAAGGAGATAAAAATCATTTGCAGATGATGAAACTTTTTACTTGGAAAAGCCAAAAGGATAAACTGAAATGAAATACTATAAATAATAAAAGAATTTAATATAGGGTACATAAATATAATGAAGTCAATAGCCTTTATACACACAAAAACCAGTTAGAAGCAATGGAAAAGGGGCACCTGGTGGCTCAGTGGTTGAGCATCTGCCTTTGGCTCAGGTTATGATCCCAGGATCCTAGGATCAGTTCCTTATCAGGCCCCCTGCAGGGAGCCTGCTTCTCCCTCTGCCTATGTCTCTGCCTCTCTCTTCAGTCTCTCATGAATAAATAAATAAAATCTTATAGATTTTATAATAGATAAAGAAGATTAAGAATTTAAAACTTCCAGTTATAAAAAAATAAGTCATGGAGATGAAAAGTATCATATAGGGAATATAGTCAATAATATTGTAATAATGCTGTATGGTAACACATGGTGACTATACTTACTGTAGTGAGCACTGAGGAATATATATCACTGCCAAACCAATGAACATCTGAAACTATTATGTCAATTACACTTCAAAATATTAAAAATTGAGGAAAAAATAAAATGAATAAATATACTGCAGCATATAAAAAGAAAAAGAGGGAGATGCAATTCTGGAGTGCTCTCTATAGACTCCTTGCCTTTGGAAAGGATAGAGCGAAAAAAAAAAAGGAAAGGATAGAGTGGAGTAAGATAATAATGATGACAACTTAAGATTTCTGTTTAGTCCTTTTCAAAGGGAAGAAAGTGTATCAAGAAGCAGGTCCCACCAGTCATTAATGAAGAGATTCCATATATAGAGAAGGTCGAAAGTCTATGCATGGTCTAAAGTCATGCACTGATGCATGAAAGTAAGAGAAAACCACCCTGAGAGGCATTTTCCTACCTAGCAGATTGGTAAAAATTAGAAAGTTTGACAAAACACTCTTTGGGTGAGGCTGTGGGGAAACAGCCTTACTTGGCATGTAGCTGACAGACGTGAATACTGTATGCCTATGGAGGATATCAAAATTACAAATTCATTTATCATTGGGTCCAGCTATCTCACTTCTATATGTATACAGATATACTTACACACATGCAAAATAACACAAATACCTTATTCATCACCGCTTTTATGAGTACATAAAAGCAAAAATAATGGAAACATACACATAAGGGAGAATCAGTAAGATACTGGTTTGATATGTTCAGGTAAAAAAAAAAAAGAGAGAGAGGCCTTCCTACTTTCTGATATGGAAAGATTGCTACAATTTATTAAGTAAAAAAAAGGGAAAACTACAAAACTGCAGAAAGTACATGTATAGTATATGCCACCTTAGAATAAAGAAAGGAGAAAAATACACACACACCCACACACCAAATGAGAGCATAAACCAGAAAGACAGCATAGTTTACAGGCAAACAGGAGGGCCAACACATAAGAGAAGCAAGGAATTCCCAGGAGCACAGAAGGAATTCCAGAATGATGCTTGTACATTAAATGTGGGAGACAACCAATCCAAACTGAAGCAGTGAGACCAGGAGATAGACATAATGTCAACACCAAAATTCCTTTTTGCTACTGTACTATGTTTTATTAAAAAAAAATTTTATTTTTTCATGAGACACAGAAAGAGAGGCAGAGGGAGAAGCAGGGTCCTCGCAGGGAGCCCAATGTGGGACATGATCTCTGGATCCTGGGATCACACCCTGGGCCAAAGGCAGACGCTCAACCTCTGAGCCACCCAGGCATCCCTGTGCTATGTTTTAAATCTGAGAACTGGGATCCCTGGGTGGCTCAATAGCTTAGCGCCTGCCTTCAGCCCAGGGTGTGATCCTGGAGTCCTGGGATCAAGTCCCACATCAGGCTCCCTGCATGGAGCCTGCTTCTCCCTCTGCCTGTGTCTCTGCCTCTTTCTCTCTCTCTCTCTCTCTCTCTCTCTCTCTCTGTCTCTCATGAATAAATAAAATCTTAAAAAAAGAAAAAAACCTGAGAACAGAATATATGGGGAATGAGCTGCTAATGTCCTTATTCTTCTCCCCACGCTCTGCTATAGATCAGCAGAGGATACACATTACTACCCAATGCTGTTCTGCTTTGACCTATTCCTGAGAGCAAAGAGGTGGGTCCTGAACTCAGGAGCAGAAAATACAGAGCAACCTCTAACCCTTTTAGAGAGCTAACACCTGGTCACTCCTGTAACTCTGTCAGTTGCTTTGATGCTGACAAGCATGGCTCAGAACACATTCACGATCTTGCCCACTGACTTCTCCAGAAAGAAGTCTTAGAAACTCTGGGAAGCCAAAGCCAGACTATGTTCCAGAGATTCTCTCAATCCTCCTTCATCCAATAATGGCAATAGGTTTGTGCTTGCTAACCAGTTGTGCAAAACTAAACAATCTATTGTTTAAGCATAAATAGGTAGCTCTCAAAACTATAAGAAAGGGCAATGAAATGATTACTGTAAAAGTAAAAAAAAAAAAAGGTGGTTTCCTCTGATGAGGATGACATGTTTGAAAAGAAAGAACAGGTGGCTTCTATGGCACTAAAAACATCCTATTTTTTTAAACTCTGGGTGTGATGGTGAGGAGGGGTCCTGGTGGTAAATGACTTTACATTATGCTTTAAACTGATGTATACATCTGTATACATTCTTTTGCATGTAGAACACATTTCATGGTAAGTTTTTAATACCTTCTCCCCAAAATTGTAAAACTGAGTTTCATTTATTAGCTGGCCTATGATCAGCACATTATATTTCCTAGAACTGCTCACTGTTCTCTTCAAGCATATTTTGAAAGTTGATGCAAGATTTGAAAACTTAAATATATACAAAGGATATAAAAGTAAACATACAGCAATCCACGCCATGAAATACTGTCTTGAAATATATATGAAGAAAATCAAAATCATACAATCTATCCCAAAAGCTATTATATATTA